GCTAGGAATCTTTCCGTGCTAAATGGAACTACCACTTGTCAGGGATGCTGTAGAGAGGAGTTGGGCATTGGATGGGAAGCTAGACTGGATGACCTCTAAGCCCTCTTCTTGAAGTGTGACTTTACCAAAGGAGAAATTATGATAACTGGCAGGGGAGGTTTCAAAAGGTTCTCTATACAAAAGAGCAGTTCATGCAAGGTGCCAGATCTATGCATCTGGCTCCCTCCACCTTTTTCTTAGCTTGAGTATCTCTATCCCTATTCCCTACTCAGTCAACAATCCATCCCTGGTTTGATCAAAACAGATTATTATTATTATTATTACATCATATAATGTGTACAGGCAGGTCTATACATACAACCTAGGACTGAATTGCCTTTTTTAGCTGCCATATCAAGATACATATTTGAATCAGACTTGGAAAAAATAAAATCTTTATGATTAGTCTCCAAGTCCATTAGACTCCAAAGAAATTGGTTGAAGTTTAGATTCGGATAAACTGGATAAATCACTTTACTTTGCTGAGCCCATTTCTTCAACTATAAAACAGCACCATAATATCTATCTTTGATGAGGATAAAAATTTGATGTATGCAAAGTAATTTACAAACCTTAGAGAGCTGCATAAGTACCAGCTCTTCTTCATAGTCCAATACCATTTTTCAGATGAGAAACATAAGGCCCAGAGTGGTAGCTAGCCCAAGGTCAAACGGCAAGTTATCGGATTCCCATCCTAGTGGCCTTTTCATTGAATTTGTCAATTGAAACCCCAAGAGTATTTTAATGTGAACTCGTACAAAAATCAGGGCTTCTCTATTCTGAATTTCCTTTATCCCTACCTAATTTTACCTCATCAGTTTCAGCTAAGCATTTTTGACTGCTGAGATCATTTTGAATCTTGATTCAGTCACCTCTCATATTTTTGATCCCTCTTGCCTTTGTGACATCTGCATTTTCGATAAGCACGTTTATGTCTTTAAGTCACTGATAATATAACAGGACAGGCCCAAGGACTGAGTTCTGGCTACTAGAGACCTTTCAAGCTGACACAGAAATTAACACTCTTTGGTTATGGTGGCTCAACCAGCTTTAAATCCCCTTAACTGTACAATCATCCAGCCAGGGTCTTACCACCTAACGCACATGACTGTCCTATTACAGGAATTCATCTTAATGCTCTGCTTTGATTTGGATCTAGGGTCCACCTCAGTATTGAGGCACACAGATCATTTCAGTGACTTCTTTTCCTGTGTAGAATTCAAGAAACTGTGAGGTTCTGGTCCCCACTCCAGCAGTTAACTGGTGAGTTACCTTGGGCAATTCTCTTTTGTATTCCGTCTCAGCCTGGCTCAAACTAGTGAAGTCAACATTCAACTACCCCTTCAATAACAGAAAATCTGGGTTGACTTTTTTTCCTCCAAAAACTGTTGTGGAATTCTCAAACAAAAAAACCCTTCTAACATAAATGTGAGAATGTTGAAACTCTTATCAGGCTAGGCCTGTGTCACATTAGGTCTTGGCTTTGCCTGTGACTCATCTTGTGACCTTTGGCAAGTCCCTTTGTTCCCTAGAGACCCCCCCCCTTTCCTAAAATGACAAAAATGTTTGCTACTGTCCTCAACTACACTAAGAGCTGGAACTGTAAGAGGCAACCAGAAGTCTTAGAAAACACTAGGAGTGAATGCTACATGGATACCAGCTTACTGATTTCAGATACCTGGGTAAAATAAGAGAAACAAATGGGTATTTTTAATTTTAAAGATCACAAGCCTTTAATTTTAACTCCATATCTTTCCTAATGTGCCACCTCTTCCTTGTACAAGACTTTTTTTCCCCCCTCCACCAGCATTTGTTTCCCAAGGCTTGGTTTCCTTCTATTTTAGATTAAGTGTTGGGACTTTATTATAACTTCTGTCCAGTTCTTGGCGAGTTTCAACTTTGTCTTAGGTCCAGGACACTTCCATTTAGGACATTTGGGATCAGGTAGAGGAGATTACATAAGAGGCAGTTTTAGAGACCCTTTATATAGGAAAACTGGAGTTCAAGTCCCATCAACGACAAACAGGGTAAGGGATCCTGGGCAAGCCAATAACATCTCAGTAAGGTACACTGCAGAACAGTCTATGGAGGAAAACCCCAGGACATCCATCCCCCAGGAAAAAAAAAAAAGAAACCACTTGCCTCTAGTAATTGGCTTTCTCTGTTAATAGGAAAGGGGGGGAATTCAAAACTGAAAGCACAACACAAACTCTAAAATTAAAAGTATTATGGTCTTTGCACAATGCAGGGTCACATCAGTTGAGAACTTAAAAGTCCTGGAGGGGAAGTCCTGTGTGTCTGGTAGAATGCAAGCATGCTAATATCATTCTCTGAGAATTTTAGCATTTGACATCCGTCTTGGACTACTCTTAGGACAACTAAATTACTATCCAGATCTCTATGGTTTGGGGATGATAATGGGTGAGAGACTTTGCATAGCAAACTGGATTCTAGTTCTAGAAAAAAAAAATTAGGATTTTTCCTAGATCCACAAGGCCAATTTGAAAATGGAGGGTAAGAAAAGGAATGCTGAAATAGCCAACAGCATTAGCTGTCTAAGAGAGAAAAGTTGTTGAATTCCTAATTCAAGCTCAGCCCTACCATCCACTGAAATCCAATCAACAAGTATTAGGCAGATACTCTGTGCACAATTTAGGTGTTACTTTTCCACTAGGCCTTTCTCCATGAAATTACTTTTGTATATACATAGATGTGGACATATTATCTTCTTAGTAGAATTTAATTCTCTGAGGGGACAATTGTCTAGCACAGTGCCTTGTGCACAGTAGGTGCTGGAGACATATTTGTTGATTTGAGGCCTACCAACTATGAGGCTACACCAATAGTGGTGGCCAGTTTGCTTAGGGAGAGCCAACCTTTTTTTCCTCCAAAATTCAATGGGTATCAATTTTGAAATTTTCTTCTGTAATTATCTCCCATTTCTTGAAAAATCACTATAAATTCACTAAACAAACATGCAAAAATAGGCTAGGGGTAGAGGAGTATTCTATAGGTAGGGTAATACTCAGGAAAGAACCCTGAGCATCCCACAGCCAGGAGGCAGTAGGGGTCAGATTCCACTGGCACGCTTTTCTGTAAGCCTTCACACTCTGAGCCTAAATGCTTTTATTGCATTTAATACCAGAAATGCCATTCAGCTTGTCTCAGGGCTCCAATTAGAAGAGCAGCAGTCTTAGCCATTACAACAGGAGCAATTGTTGATAATTACTTCCAAGGTACACTGCAGGTATAGTATTCTGTTTTGCTTATGTGCCTGATATCCCTAAAGAATGTAAGCTTTTTGAAGGCAGAGGCCATTTTTAAAAAAATTCCCAGTGACTGGCACATAGTAGGTACATTGTAGATGATTGATGTTATATAAAAGCTTGTTGAATTTAATTAAATTCTGAGAAATAGGGTTCCTACCAAAAGGAAACAAAGATGACTTTAAGGGGAAGTCACAGGAAAAAGGGGCGAGGATTGTTGGCCATCAGGGAAAGGGTTACAATACAGGTGTGGAAATAATGGCAAATCTCACCCTCTTTCCTTTTTCCATGCACACTTCTGGTAGAGCTTCAGATTCTATTTTCTAGGTTTTTAGGACTTGTGATTACAATGGCTGGTCCCATTAACGTAGTCTTGACAGCTCTTTGGACTTTGGGGTGCAATAATAGTCTAAACAAGGCAAACCATCTTACCTCTACCAGGTCCAAACCTATAATCATTATGAAGAGCAGTAAGATGGTGACTGAGTGCACCAGGATATATATGGAAGACACAAATATATATAATATACACACAACCTCTGTGGACAGGGTGTCAGAGGGCCTCAGATCATGTCATCCTGACTCTATTACTTAATATCTACTTTATCTCTTAGTTTCCTTCTCTGTAAAATGAAGTGAGAGAGTTGGATTCTTACCTTTTGGGTATCTATTCCAAGGTTTCTGCCAGCCCTAAATCTATGATTCTATGAAGGAGGGGGAGGGGAGGCACCTGTCGCATAGCACAACATAGGTAAAGCATCTTGTCCAGCTAGAAGCCCTTTAATGCCCAGGTATTGCCTACTCCCTGTCTTCTAGAGATGCGACTCTTTTTTGGGGTGGGGGTGGGGCTAGGCAATGAGGTTAAGTGACTTGCCCAGGGTCACACAGCTGATAAGTTTCAAGTGTCTGAGGCCGAATTTGAACTCAGGGCCTCCTGACTCCAGGGCTGATGCTTTATCCACCGTGCCACCTAGCTGCCCCTCGAGATGGGACTCTTAACCTGCAGTCCATAGGGAAGTTTGTGAACTTAAATGGGTTAAAAATATCTATCTTTATCTGCACTAAGCTGGAACTAAAATTTAGTATTTCCTTTAGTTGTGATTTAAAAAAGAAAAACATTATTCTGAGAGGGGTCTGTAGGCTTCATAAAACCGCCAGAGGGGTCCATAATACAAACAAGGTTAAGAACCCCTATTCTAGAGCAACAATATCAGGCCCCCACTGTGCTGGGGTTACATGGAGTAAAAGTGATTAAGAGCAAATTCTGGCATGGGAAGTGTGGGGGAAATTAGGGAAGAGCAAGATAAAGGGGCCTTAGGAAATAACACATTGTTACTTAGTGTATGGTTGCATAAATAGTCATCCAAATGAGCACTGTCTCATCTCTCAATTCCAATAAAGAGAAGGAAATGAGAACTATATTTATCTCACTGGAAAGCTATCTTCAAGGTGTGTGACATGGATGTATGTACTTAGGAATGATGGGTCTGGAAAGAAAGATATGTAACAATACCTTATTTCCTATTTTAAATTCTTGATTTTTTGGATCAGAGGAGTCAAGCACAGCTTAGAGTAAAATTTTCCCAAGGCTCCTTGTTACATCTTCCCATGATGCACATAGACTTAGGTCAAGTTACCAAAATTCAGAACAAGGATTTCTTTTCCTTGGCACACTGAAGGGAAATCTAGACAGGCCCAAGGATAATTTCTTATTTTATTGGTGAAGCCAAATACAACAAAAAGCTGTTGTTTGTTTTTTAACCAAAATAAATAAATCAGATCTGTCACCGTGAAGAATCAAAGTGATGATGAGGGGCAGTCACCAGTGTCTGCCCCCGCCCCTCCACCCTTCAGCTCCCACCTCCTGCCACCTTTTGCTTTGGCACAAGGAAGGATGTATCAGAAAGTCTCAATCTTGTTTTTTTATAAAAAAGTTAAAGGGGAAAGGGAAAAAGGAAAAAAGAGGCATCGTGAAGGAGAGAGGTGGTGAGAAAACAAGCAGAAAGGCCATGCCGAGGCTTATCTACCACATCAGGGGTCAGAGCAGCACATACCTTATGGGCTACTGAGAATAGAAGGGAAAATTTTCTGGCCTGGAGACCAAGACCATCTCCAATAGAAAAGTCATTATTCACATGATGTACATGCCCTGTGGCTCTGTGCTCCAGACTCCACCCCTAAAGCAAAGCTGTACATATATGGGACAGGGGCAGCAATATGAAGAGCTTGGGTGCCAGAAAGGGACACTGTTTTGCCAATTCTGTGACATGGAGAAGAGTCAGTGCAGAAGAAGGGGCAGAAGCAGTAGAGGCTGAAGCTGTCCCTGGTCACTAAAGCTTGAGGGATTGGGGCATGCAGACCACATGCAATAAGCCCAGGAGGGATGTCACACAGGAAAATAGGGGACAACTATACCAGAGGAAAGACACTGATAGGACCACCTGCTCTGGATTCTGGGACTGCCTCAACCTGGACTTATCCTCTGTCTCCTTAAGCCTGGCAGCCAAAGGAGTCCATCTCCTCGCTATGGCTGCCTACCATCCGAGTACCACTTGGAGAAGAACATGGCAAAATCCAGTTCGTGGGAACAGATCATTTCTTTCTTTTTCGTATGATTACTCTGGGTTTAGCCCCAGAAAAAGCTAAGTAATCCTAGTCCTAGTCCTGAAGTAAAGAGACCTTTTCAGCATATAGGGAATCCAAAGTTCCTCCTCTGCATTGTGGGGATAAAATTTTACCAGGTGAGGGAGTGGAAAAATCTGACATCACTACACAAGGGCTTTTTGTCTGGTACAGTTATGGGTTCTTATAACTGTGATGTCAGCAGTATCCCCTTCCCCTTCTGTTACCTCCCCTCTGCTCCTTCTGCAGAAGGTGCTATTCCACTAAGCTATTCACCTTCACAGAAAGCCAAGACAGTCAAAATTGGGGATTGTTGAACATTTGGTGGGGGTGAGTGAGGCAGAATACTTGATAAAGAAATGATAACTTCAATTTCTAAGAGAACAGCTTTTTTTTTTTGGGAGGCGGGGAGAGGGAGAACACAGGAAGGGAAGAATGCACAGGACAATAAGAACAAGCAGAGATTTGGGGCAGAAGCTGGGTGCCACACTTTAGTCGATCAAGTCTGGAGTTAAGAGGAGAGGCGAGTGGCAGACATGGATATACTGACAGACAGAAGGCAGGGTCCATGTAGCTGTGGCCCACGCCTAGAATAAGCCCTTGAAAGAGTCCAGATTGAAAGCAGTCTCCAGGAGACGCTGCAGCTCCGTCAGGTGTGTCTTCTTGTTGCCTGTGGCTGGTGCAGCAGCAGGGTCACGCCCAGCATACCTGAGATGGAAATGAGAGTCAGTGGCAGTGAATTCCATCTTGTTCTTTCAATAGGACCGACAGGTTCATTTCCATCAAAGATAACAATGTTAACAGCAACTGATGTTGGTACAGCTATTATAAAGTTTGCAAAGCTCTTTATGTATATTATTTCATTTGATCTTCAAAACAACCCTATGAGGTAGGTGCTATTATTACTCTCCCATTTTACAGATGTAGAAATTGAGGATGAGAGGTGAAGTGACTTGCCTAGAATCACACAACTAATGAAAGTCTGAGATAGGATTCAAATTCATACCTTCCTGACTCTAAGACTGGTACTTTCTATTATGTCACCTACCTCCCTGCTACCTAGGCTTTTCTCTGATATTCACTCATCAGAACTAAAAAGGGGTAGGAGGATGGCGAGAGTCCCCTTTAGGATATCAGAGAACACTTTGGGCTGGAGTGCCTTCTGGACATGGGCCATATGGAGCTTTTGGAGGGCACCCGCAAAGGATGGAATGCAGCCCAGGCAGGGCAGTAGGAATAATTACCAGACAGGCTTGGCTCGGTCTATGGTTGTACGAAGTCTTGGCTTCACGTAGTCATAGTAACCTTGATTTTTATGCTCTTCCTGGCACCAGGCCAGCTCTGCATTAGGGTACTTCAGCACTTCCTTCTGCAGGAGGTCGAAGGGGAATGGGGAAAGCTGGGAAGAAAACAACACTACAGCTTCAAACACAGCACAGTCTGAGGGAGGAGACAGGGCCAACCCAGCTAGCCTCCTTACTGCTTCCAAACTCTCAAAAGATGAACCTCTAATGGTAAAGGGTGGAGGTTAGTCCCTACAAGGTCTCCACTCTCATGACAGGGCATTCCTAGGCTAAGAGGCAACTTCTAATCTCATTCTGCCTGCCTTTGGTGGCCGTGATTCCATCTAGTTTGTATCTATTAAGTGGCCACCATGTGCAAGACATTCTTTGAGCCATTAGAAATATGAAGACAAAAAAATGAAAGACTGCCCTCAAGAAGCTTCAATTCCATTAGGGAAAACAAATGACACATCTACAGAGAAATACGAAATGTACACATAGTCAATATAATTATGTGTATGTGCTGGTGATGGAGGGTGGAGAGAGAACCAGTTAGGGGAGCCTTTCTAGGTTGTAATTTGATTCAAACATTTATTAGGCACCTGCTATATGTGTGCAAGGCACTGTCCTAGAGGATGATGATACAAAGATTAAAAAAAGTTCTTGTCTTTAATAAGTTTCCACTCTATTGTAGGAAACAATAAATACATAAGAGAGTTAAAAAAAAGAGAGCATTACAACTAGGAAGAGGTAGGGAAGAGAGTGAAATCAGGTAATTCAATTCAACAATAATTTTTTAAGTGCCTTCTATATGTCAGGCACTTAGTTGCTAGAGATACAAAGAAAAAAGACCCTGCTCTCAGGGGACTTACACTGTACTGGAGAGAAAGGTGGATGTATAGGAAGGACCACTTCACAAGAGCAAATAGACATGGGGATCATGTTCTTGTTACTACAGGATATGCCAACATACACAGGTAGTAGTTGATCTCTTCCTCCCACCTGCTCGATCCTGGTGATAGCCACATCTGCCTCCATCTTTCTGGCTTGTCGCTCTCGGGTAAGATCATAGTACACCTTGCCGGTACAAAAGAGAAGTCTCTTGGTTTTTTCTGGGTTCTGGGATGCAGGGCCACTGTCTGGGATAACACGTAGGAAGTTGCTTCCTGGAACAGAGCCCATATTGGACAGTGTTATCTCTGGAAATTCAGCCAGCAAGAGCTTCGAATCATCAACCAAGAAGCACTGATACCCTCCAATCCTATTAATTACTAATTAGAAAATTCCCCCAGGAAATGCCACACATGAATGAGGTCAGACCCACAGCCTATCTACGTTGCTATTCTGTCTCTGAGGGGCAGCAAGGGAAACACTAAGGGAGGATAGTTGGTATATGTGAAACATCCCAACAAGGACTCTATCATCCAAGAGTTAACTAAATACCTTCCTTGGAGGCTTATTTCCAGTCTTTCAGGGTAATGGATTATATGAGTTCTAATACCAATTAAGTAATGTTTCCTTTTATTTTTCATAAAAAAAGTGTCCTTTTCAAATTTTAAGAGGTCCTACCTAGTTTTAATATCCTGGGCTTGGATGAACACATCCATATTGAGCTTGGTCTATATCCACTGTGATTTTATGCGCATAATTTTTAGTATAACCACAGCAAAAAAGCAAGCTCTTAGGTCCAAGTTGGTGTCTATCATCCCAATATAGCCTCTGCATAAGGGACAAACATTTAAGACAGTGGTGTCAAACTCAAATAGAAATGAGGCCCACTAGTCTGTACATAAGGATCCCTGAAGGCTGCATATTGACTTAATTTTAAAATGTAATGCTATTTGTGTTTAATGTATTTTTATTTATTTTGTTAAACATTTCTCAGTGACATTTTAATCTGTTTTAGGCCACACTGGGCCAGGGCTGTGATCTAAGAAATCAACCAAAACAAATGCAACTTGCATAAGATTTGTATGATATAGAGAAGACTTGATGAAAGGGCAAAGAATTCTTCCTGACACAGAAAAGCTTGAGGGGAATCCCTTGGTAGTGGGGCAGGCCCTCATAGGTGGCTATGTACCCATTAGGAGGGAGAAGTGCGTGGAAAGTGGAAGAATGGGGATTCCCACCCACTTGTAAGTACAGCTAAGATATTTTACAGCGCAGGTTCTGCATGTCAACATTCTAGCAGGAGAAAGGTTCTATGGATCCTCATGCTGATTCTCACAATTGGAAATCTCTACACTGGAGATGTGCATAGAGGGTTGTTCATTTCCTCACAATCATCAATCTCCCCAATTCAAAAGGGACAACTGTCTATGGGTAAGTTGCCTTAGTCAAAAAGACTCACAATGCCAACAGCCCCTCAAGACATGGGACCTGTTTTTTGTTTTCTCCTATTCTGACAACTGTATTCCACATTCTCCATTCACGAACAAGGGGGAAAGATGCCAGTGGATTCACAAAAAAACTGAGACTGGGACATCAGGACTCAGGGTCCACAAGAAATTGCAGGCCCTTACCAAATTCCAGAGTTTCTGAAACGCTTCAGAGGCTTCAGAAACTGAGGAACAAACAGGACTATTACTCAAATGTATTTAAGACACTTGGACTGATTATGCCTACCTCACCATTGGTATTACTCTATTTCCTGAGGTTAACTGTTTATATTTTTCTCTTCTTAACCCAAATAGCCATCTTCCTTCCCTCAATACTCTATCTCCATGCTGGAAAGGACCTTGGAGATCATCTAGTCTTATCTACTCATTTTATAGATAAGGAAACTAAAGTTCAGAGAGTGTGTCAAGGTCACACAGCTAGCTGGCAGAAGACTCCTGACCCACAGTCCACTGTCCTTTTTACCACATCAGACAATCTTTGCTGATGTCCAATTTTCAGAGCCTGGACTACAGACAGCCCAAACTCCTGGGTTGGTTTCTTGTAGTTGTTTTAATCTGGAGCCCATAAATACCTCTGAGGGAGTCACAGAATCTCTGAATTGTAAGGAAGCTCACAGGTTACCTAATCCAACCCACAAGTAAACAAAAATCCCCTTTACAACATACCTGTTATGTGCTCATCCAGCCTTCCCTTGAAGACCCCTAGTGAGGGGTGAAGACCTCTAGTGAGAAGGAACCTACTACCTCTCAAAGTAGTCCATTCCCATTTCACTTCTGGACAGTTCTAGGAAGCTTTCTTTATACCAAGCCTGTGTTTCTGCAGCCTTCACCAGTGCTCCTAGTTCTGCCCTCAGGGAATAGGCAACTGGACCAACAGTCCTCTGGGACTGATGGTCCTTCCAACACTACATGGCAGCTATCACCCCCCAAGTCTTCTCCAAGCTCAAAGCTTCTAGTTCCTCTAACTACTCTAGAATTCCATGAGGAAAGAAGTTAAGCTCACTCTCCTAGAGTTTGAAGACTCTAGTCTCTTCCCTTTTTGAAAATGAACACCTGCTCTTCTTCAGTCCTATGACATGTTTTCTATTCTTTCCATGATTTTTCAGAGATCAAGGACAGTGGCTTTTGTCTCATTCTTTAAGTAATATGGTACATATTTCACCTGAGTCTGTCACCTTGAATTCAGCAAAGGTAACTCATTTCTCTCTTAAAATTACCTCACTTATCTTTGGAAATAACCCTCTAGCCTACTGAGAAGTGACAAGCCACCACACCCTGGCCCTGGAAACCAAACAAATGACCAGTTAACAAACAGGAAGCAAGGGCAGGTGTTCTCTCCTGGCTTAGTCACCAAGGAAGTACCTGGGCCCGCAGAGTCAGGGAGCCTGCCTTATGCACAAGTGGAAGCTTACCCTCCCTGGAGGTAGGAGAAAGAAAGAGGAATCAACTCTTCTAAGAGAGTGCCAGCGAACCTCTTTCCCTAACTTTCTTACCTGGCAGCATGTCATCAAAGTTGGACCTGGCTTCAGGGTGACGCAGCAGTGACTTTGGAGTGAAGACGATCAACTGAAATACAGTGGGAAAAGACTCACAACAGGCTAGATTCAGTGCTGCAGGTGGGAGCTTGGTAAAGTAATGAGGCTGTTGTTTTTTATTGACAGGATCCTGTACATTGCAAATCACCCTAAGTCTTTGCAACAGGTTCTCCACGGAGAAAGAGGAGGCAGAAAAGGGAAGAAAGGAAAATGCAGTTCTGCCTCCCCTTTCTATCTCCCACACTACCTTAGGTCTCTAGGCACTGACTGAGGGAGAGGTAGATCCCAAGCTAGGCAAAGCACATCTTTGTTTCCCTTAGCTGGCCTAATAAATCCATACTGATTGGAGAAGAGGAGCCGTCTGCTTCTCCCACATCACAGTTATATAAGCAGCCACGTCTGGCTCACTCTTCCAAATGCCAGTTTACCAATGGCACCATTCTGCTCCTCAAACAAGACCCTCCTCAAATCAAGCTAGCAGGGACTTGGTTGCTGGCACCCAGATATAACCAGTGACAAAATGCCCTATGGGAAAGTGGACCACTCAACAGCACCCCCATTTATCAAGGTTGGGAGAACAGAATCCCTTTGGATGATTCTTTTATTTTATTGGTGGGAAATTTGGCTGAAGGAAAAAGAGCCTGGTATAAACAAGCTGTAGAGGCTCATTCCTCATTTCTATATCTTCTCTCTACCCAAACAATTCAAATGAAGACCTTGTAGCACCCATGTAGGTGGAAAGCTGATGCCCTGAACTGTGGTGAGAGCTGAGGCAGTCCTGAATTCTCCAAGGCTATACCATTAAAGAAGAGCAAGCTCTGGCAGGTCTTACCAAACTAGAAGGCTTTGAGTATGGCCCTGGTGACTCGTATGTATGTCATCAGAGGACCATCCTAGCCAAATTCAGAGATGCTTAACATCCTGAGGTTGGTCACCAGGTGATGGGGATTTTTTTGGACCATGAATGAAACCGTTTACTAAGGCATGGACAGATTTCAATATGTATCAGTGGAAGGAACACTCACAGTGATGAAATCACAAATACTCCTGGGGAAGACTGTCTTAGAACCCAAGAATTTGTAGAACAGGTGGAAAGAAAACTAGGGGCTCAGACCCCACCTTTGCCCAGTTTCCTATAAGGGATGCTTTTACTCTGAGATAGTCCATGAGGTCAGCACCACCCACCCTGAACTTTTTCTTTTGGGATACAACAGGGTAATCAATTTGGGTCTGTCCCTTGGATCAGAGCCTTCTTCTGGGCACAGTAGGCTCTGTAACTGACCGGCTTCCGGAAGGGCAGCAGGATCTGTCGTCGTAGGACATGGAAGAAGTTAGCAGGAGTGGAACAATTAACAACAATCCAGTTGCAGTCATAGAGTTGACGCACATCAAAGTCATCAAGTTTCTGCAGTAGAGAGAGCACAGTGAACCGTCAGGGTCCAATGAGTCATTAAATCACCCCTTTTGTAGACCCACTGTATTCAAGCAGTGGTCTGGGTCCTTACAAAAGAGGACAGCAATAATGTTCTCACTACTGAGCTGAAGTCTATCCAGGATGGAAGGCATTTAAACACAGCTGAAAACAGCATCATGGGATGTTCAAGGGCTTTCATCGATAATGCTAAACAATTCTGTCATCTTACAGTCAGAAACGCCATCATGGGTGAGGGCCTTGCATTAGCCAGTCCAGATGCTTCTCTAGACTCAAGTTTTAGGTCCAGTCATTAGATTACCTTGGGCTTCCAATTTCTGAGTCCCATTCTGGAATTCTGCTTTGAGCCCAAGTGCACTTCACTGACCTGTTCTGACTGAGGATCAGAGCGCCCTGACCCCTTGCCCTTTAAAAAAGGGCCATCAATGTCTTTTTATTTCTTTAGTACTTAACATTGTGCAATTTTGCTCTTGGTCATAATACTGTTTAGAGTTGCTCTTTGTTTGTTTTACATTTATACAACTTGTCTCAAAACAGATTATAAACTCTCTGAGGACAGGAGCATTCTTCTTTCTGTGATGAAACAGGGTACACAGTATGGACTTAGAATACTAACTACTTATTAACACAGTTTATTGTTGTTCAGTTGTTTCTTCAGTTATGTACAACTCTTCTTGACCCCATTTGGAGTTTTCTTGGCAAAGATACTGGAGTGATTTGCCATTTCCTTGTCTAGCTCCTTTTACAGATAAGGAAACTGAGGCAAACAGGGTTAAGTGACTTGCCCAAGGTCATACAGCTAGCAAGTGTCTGAGCCTGGATTTGAACCCAGTCAGGTTTTCCTGATTCCAGGCCTGGCACTATCCACTGCACCACCTAGCTGTTCCTATTAACCGAGTTAGTGCTTAGTAAATAACTCTTGATTTGCTTCCTTTTCAGGATAAAGTGTCTTGAAGCTCTTGGATACAGTTGTAACATACTCAGGCTATTCATTCAAGAACAGTCCCTAAACCTTTCCTCTAACAGGCATGGTGGAAAGAACACTAGATTTAGTCACAGTAACTGGGTTAAAAATGCAACTCTGACACCTCTTATTTATGTGACCTTGGACAAATCATGGAACCTCTTCAGGTTACAGTGTCCTCCTCTGCAAAATGAGAGGGTTGGATTAGATGACATCCAAGGTCTCTTCCAGTTAAAATATCTCTGGTCCTCAGTTCCTTTAGTATCCTTCTAAAATAAGTTCTTAAAAAGGATAATTGGAGGGAATTGCCATAGAGTGGTAAATATAATCAACAGCTTTCAAATTCAAGTCCCTCTGTCTTTGGCAAGGGTAGGAAGCTACAGGAAGCAGCCCCAGCACTTCTATTTCCTTCCTACTCTGCTGAGGTCTCTCATTTAGGGGAAAACCAGCAGGCAAAGTGGCCACACCTATCTACCCACTCACACTAATTAGGATAATGAGGCAGTCCTGTCAGCCAGCCTCATTTCTAAATGAAAGGAGGGCACAGAAAACAGAATGTCTGCTGCTGTCAATATCAAGGACCACACAAGTAATTACTCAGATGGAAGCTGCCAAAAACAGGCAGATGACCAGAGGAGTCCAAGTGGGAATTTAAGAAGGGTCAGAGGTTTGGGGAGGAATTTTCTTCCCTCAGCTACCCTCCCCTGGACAGCATGGACTGCCTGCACCAGATTGAGTTACCCACTCAGAGAGTCGCAACCAGGCCAGAGGCAACTTAACTTACAGGGAAGACATCTGGGTCATCATTGCACATCTGCAGAAACCTCTCTGGTCTAGCCGACGAATGCTCTGGACCCTGGAACCAAGCAAGAAATCAGTCTGAGGCCACCCCTCTGCCGAAAATCCCACTCTGTTAACAGATGCTTGTCTATACCATCACTATTAACTTGCTTGTCTTGGGTTTGACAAACGCCAAATTCTGTGTTTTGAGCACTGCTGAATTTAATTCTCCCTTCTCTGACCTCCTGACCCCTTCATCCCCTTTCATTTCCACAAACAGGGCACACAGCATTAAGCATTCTTATCTGAGACTGCTGAACCTGGGGCTCTTTTGACTCTTTTCCCCTTAATGAAGGCCTATACTATAGAGCCTCAGGGTCATTCAACCAGGCTTTCATCTTTTCCAAAACCAGAGATTAAAGATAGTGAGCAGTAGTACAGGTTGAGACAGTACTGGGTGCTCCTAGCACTTGGGGCAGACTGGGGCTTGGAAAGTTAGGGGTAGGAATGAGAGTGCTGAGAGGTCTGAATGTCAGATTAGGTGCTGTCAAGGGAGATGTACTTTCCACAGTGACTCAAAACTAGAAAGTGATGATACAAGTATATACGCATGTCATGACATGAACACATGACAAAGCCAGTTTCCTGTTTTGGTTCAGGAAAGGGGAGTGTGGAGAGGAAGAGGGGAGATCAGGTTTAGGGCAAGGCAGAGAAATGGGGTCTTGGGAGCTACAACTAGAGCAGCTTCCTCTCCCATTCCCCGTTTATACCTCCACAGAATGAACCGGGGAAAAGAGAATGGGAAAGTCGCAGGCACATCTTTTTTGTCATGACCATTATAGGAGACAAGAACTGGCTGGTGTCTCTAGGAATCTTTGGGGGTAGGTAGAGGGATCAGGAGCCAAACCTGAAGGTCATGTGTAAGAGCTAAGGTCCAGAGAGTAGACTCTTTCCTAAGCCATGGGCTTAGGCAGGAGTGGATACCACCAGTGGAGAGAGAAATGCTCACCATTCCTTCCATGCCATGGGGTAGGAGCAGGACAATGCCATTCTGTCGAACCCACTTGGCCTGTCCTGGGCAGATGAATTGGTCAATGATGCACTGAGCAGTGTTGTGGAAGTCACCAAACTGAGCCTCCCAAAGGACAAGGGCATTAGGACTTGCCATAGCAAAGCCCAGCTCAAAGCCTGTGTAGTATAAAGGAGGGATGAAGACAGGGAGGACAGATCATTACCCATGACGTGAAGAAGAACAAAGACGTGTGCTCGAGGACATGCTCCTTCAACACAGACATGATGGGTTATGACTCTCCAGAGGCAAGGGCTCAAGGGCACTCACCTAGGACTCCATATTCAGACAGAGAGCTGTTGCAGACTGTATACGGAGCCTGGTTAGGCCAGAGGTGGTTCATGGGAATGCAGATTTTCTTGTCTACATTCTGGTCATGTAGCACATGATGACGATGGCTGGAAGAGAAGAATGGTTATTAATTCCACTTCATCCCCTTCCCCCTCAAATGACCCTGCACTATGGCTAAACAAGCTCCTGAGTGAGAAGCCATGACAGAGGAAGAGAGCTCCCAAGCATCCGTACAAACACAGTGAAGCACTGTTCTTAATAAAAGCTGACCAAAAAAATCAGTGCAACTGCTCTTTTCTCTCTCCTTTTTTTTTCCCAGAGGCAGTCAAGGTCAAGTGACTTGCCCAGGGTCACACGGTAAGTGTCTAAAGCTGGATTTGAACTCAGGTCCTCCTGACACCAGGGCTAGTGCCCCTTTGACCCCTCTTTTTAAACCAAGGACCCCATGATTGAGTGGACAGTAATGATACGCTTGTGAGAAAGGGCTCAGGCTATCTCCAATTCCCATCCTCATTGAGGTGGTAACCACTAGGTTTTACCTGAAGGTTCCCCTTTCAACATCCTGGCCGCTGAGCCGAATGTGGATCCCGTCTTTCAGGAGTGAGCCGAAGGCCATGTACTCAGCAAGGGCCCAGTCCACTGTTCGGTTCTTTACCATTTCTCCACGGGTTTTTAGAATCCGCCTCAAGCCTACAGAGACACTCAAGCTTGAAATCCCATCCCAGGCTTGACCAGTAGTTTCTGTACAGACAGGCTTTCAATTGCGCATTTTAAGGAGTAGGGAACAGATGCCTCTCTCTACTCTTGGCTTGGAAAATGATGAGACTGCTTCATTAGAGAATGGGGCTTAAAGTTGTAGTGATTTGACTTTTTCTCAATACTTACATATGTTATATGTCTACTAGGACAGCTAGGACTTCATCCAGAGTTTTTCTTTCTTTCTTTTTTTTTAAACCTATTCATTATTCAGAACTACAAATCTCAGATCAGAAACTTTCTCTGCATTTTACCCAATGAGGAATGAGCCTCCTACTGATTAAGAAAATGACCACAGGCCACAAGTAGAAGCTGTCACAGAACTCAGGCATCCTACAACTTAATATTTTTTTTGCATTTGAAAACATTTTTAATATCCATTAAAAAAATTTGGGGCTCCAAATTCTCCCCTCCCTTCTTTCCCCCACCTCTTGAGAAGGCAAGCAATATGACATTGATTATACATGTGAAGCCATGCAAAACATATCTCCATATAAGCTATGTAGCAAAAGAAAACATAAAAAACACTGAGAAAAATAAAGAAAGTTAAAAAAGTATGCTTCATTCTGCACTTGAAGTTGATTAGTTCTTTCTCTGGAGGTGGATGGCATGTTTCACCACGGTTCCTTTGGAACTGGATCATTTCTTGTCCTACAATTCTACAGATCAGTAAAGGTATTAGTTACCCCCATGAATGGTGAAATTCTCCACAGGAACAGAGCTGGCTACATTTCCTATGTGTGCTAGAACCTCTTCAGTTAGACCAGTTGAAGGGCAAGACATACTCCTGGGCTGTCCATCCAGAGTAAAAAAACCTGGAAGAGAAAAGATAAGCCAGAAATGAATTATCACCGTGCCTGCTCTTACAAGCCCTATGATGGAACACTGAAGGACAAAGATTATTCTGTTCTTCCCTGAACTGAATGAGGAAATGTGGGACTTGATGAAAGGAGATTCAGAGTAAAAGGATTCAGGACTCAGATTCATCTGAACTCTTTCAAATTTGGGGGTGGCAACTTCTGTTGCCTTCTCCCCTGTATTAGTTACCTATGTACATGTTTTATCTCTATTAGAATATAAGCTCCTGGGAGGCAGAAACTAGAAACTATTTGTCACAGGAACATGAATCTAGAACTGAAAAGGACCTCAAATGCCATTAAGTCCAATCCTCTTGTTTTAGTGATGAGGAAACTAAGACCCAGGGAGAATGTGTGACTTGCTCAGGGTCACACAGATAGCTAAGCATCACAGGCAGGCTTTGAATCCAGGTTCTGATTCCAGAGGCAGGGTTTGAACTAAGCTCCTCTGCATCAAGAGTCAAGTGTTCTTTCCTCTGTATTGGTGACTCTGTAGGGCTATGAGTTATACAATACCACAGCCTCCAAAGTATGAAGGTTGAGGGTCACCTAATGGGCAATGGAGAGGCACAGTGAGCACAAGTAGGTTGCAACATATCACCAATGAAGAGCAGCATAGGAGAAGTAGAATAAAGGATGTATGACCAGAAAGACGAGCCAGAGAGGGAAAGCTAGACATAATTGATAGACAGACACCCTATGGAATATTTATGGGAAAACAGAAAAAATTCACAAAGGAGAAGAAAAAAACGGATATTTATGGTCTGCACTGCTGGAGGGAATACACTCATGGATAAGGTCACAGATCTCTTGAAGTATAATTTCTACTCTACCTTTAATTGTATGTTCATTATGATGTGATTAATCTTTGGAAAGGGGCCATATTGTCCTGATAAAAAAAAGTGTACTTTCTGAGATTCCCATCAGAAGTTTCTCAATCCAGTTTTTCTAACAGGCAGTTGAAATTTTGAATTTTCTTCTTGTTTATCTATTATATTTGTTGAGTTCTGAAACTGGAATGTTGAAATTTTCTATAATTGTTCCCTTCTTCACCATGCTTTTTACTTTTCAGTTAGCTTTTCCTTAAAGTACTTAGTTGTGATTACCATTTAATGCATATATATATTTAATTTTTATGTGTTTAATTATTATCTATGGTACCTTTAAGCATAATGTAGTTTCCCTGTCTGTCTGTCTGTCTCTCTTTTTTTGTTAGGCAATAGGGTTAAGTGACTTGCTCAGGGTCACACAGCTAGTAAGTGTCAAGTGTCTGAGGTCGGATTTGAACTCAGGTCCTCCTGACTCCAGGGCTAGTGCTCTATCCACTGCCCCCCATTTTTCTCTCTTGACAGTAACTATTTTTTTACTATTGAATTGTCCAAAACTATGATTGCAATTACTACTTATGCAGCAAATTTTAGGTTCTATTCTCTAATTCATTCTGCAATTCTTGTTTTAGGTTTAAATTCAGACAAAGCTGGAAGTTTTCCCTCTTTGTATACCCTTCTTTACTGTATTACTATTAAAAAAAATCAGTATAAGATGCCGCATAGCTTGCTTTGTTTGAACCAATCTAATCTTAAGTCTCCACTCTCACAGAGCGATGCCCTCCCCTGTCCCTTCTCAGCCCAGCCCAGATCTCTAGATACAACTTTTATTGGTACAATCCTTTTTTCACACTATCTTTGCTCAGCCCAGAGAAAAGTGTGGTTCAGGAGTCTTCCTGCTCCCCGTCCTCATTTTCTGTTTGAATGGCTTCCATCTCCCACCTGATTCTAAGAAATACTAATTCATTCTCTCCTTGTCCTTCCACTGGAGTCTTAGGACAACAAAAGCTTTAACAAGTGACCTATTACTACTCACCAGGCCAGGGCGAGTCAAGCCAGTGCTTGATGTGTAAGATCTTCTCATCTTTAGATCTGGCAAAAGCCTCCTCGCAGATCTTATCATACTTGGAAATCTCCTCCTAGAAAGTAGTGACACAGCACATCAGGTACAAGGCCAAACACAGTGAGGGCATCACACTCCAGAGGCTGCTCTCTCATGTTTCAAGGGAGGACAACTTCCACTCATGTTCCAAAACTTCTTACCAAGCCAAGAAATTCAATCTGTGCTAGCTCCCAGGCATCCTGGAGTCAAGGTAACAACAGGCCTTCTTTGGCCCTCAACTCAACCCCACTAGAAGACTACTAGGATTTAGAATTTGTTTTCTATTACCTGGCTACCCACGCTACTGAATAGGAAATTTCAGTATCCCTCAAAGGTTCAGTTCCGACCTCTCAGCAATCTGTGTTACACACACACACTTACCCACCCACCAAAAACATATTTCATATATATATATTTCCTTGTTGTTCAGTTGTTTTTAATTGAGCCTGACTCTTCGTGATCCCATTTGGGGTTTTCTTGGCAAAGATACTGGAGTGATTTGCCATTTCCTTGTCTAGCTCCTTTTACAGATGGGGAAACTAAGGCAAACAAGGTTAAGTGACTTGCCCAAGGGTCACACAGCTAGTAAGTGTCTGAGGCTGGGTTTGAACTCAGGAAGAGCTCCTGACTCCAGGCCTGGTGCTCTGTGCACTATGGCACCATCTAGCCGCCCATATATTTTCTTACAAAGTTCTTAAGTCCCAAGTGATTTTTTTAAAAAATCATGTCCCATATATTGAGGACCCCAAAGCTATACCTGCAGTCCTGATCTGACATTCTCTGGCCCTATGTTTTTTGTTCTTTATCCACACATTCTGCTAGTATTTAAAAACTGAATTCACTGTCTTCCTCCAAACACTACCCACTGTCCATCCTTCCTTCCTTCTTCAAAGCTGTTAATGGCATCATTACTCTCCTTATCCCTCAGTTTCCCAGTCTTGGAGTGACTGTCCTCTTTGTTTTTTCTTTTATTCAGTCTCCTGAGATGCTCTATTTGCTATTTAAAGCCTGTCATTATCTATCTTTCCAGACTTCTTTCACGATTCTTTTTAAAAAAAACTTAATATTTTGTTTTTTCCCCAATTACATGTAAAAACAATTTTAATATTCTTTCCCCCCAATTTTGAGTTCTAAATCCTCTCCCTTCTCCCCTCATTGAGAAGGCAAGCAATTTGACATAGGTTATGCATGTGTAGTCACGCAAAATGCATTTTCCTTTAAGTTATTCTGCGAAAGAAAATACAGACAAAAAACCCCAAGAAAAATAAAGAAAGTAAAGAAAAAGTATCTCTGATCTGCATTCAGGCTCTATCAGTTCTTTCTTTGGAGAAGATAGCACCTATTTCACATGATTCTTCACCTCACACTTGACATTTCCAGCCAAATCATCTTACTTGCAGTTTTCCATACATAATATTCCATGCCTCTGCAAAGCGTGACCACTGTGTTTGGAATGTTCTGTCTTTTCAACCCTATTTCTTGAAATCCTAGCCTCCTTCAAGGTTTATTAGCTCAAATGCCTAAGAAATCTTTTGGGATTCCCCCAGTCTTTAGTCTCCTCCTACTCTGAAGTTATTATTACTTTTTTCCCACTGACTTACATGTGTATATGTTGTTTCTCCCATGTAGAATGTAAGTTCCAAGAGGGCCAGGGTTTGTTTCATTTTTATATCTCTAGCACCTGCCATGTAATGCTTGGAATATAGCAGGTATTTTAAAAGTATTTGTTAAATTGAATACTAATAGAGTTGCTTCTCCTTGCTCTACAACATCCCTTTCTCTCCCTCCCACAGCCTTTTCCCTAATCCAGGGCCCAACAGCAATTTACCTCAGATAATGTAACAAAGTGGCCTCTTGATTTCTAGCCTCTCTCCATCTGCAACCATCCCAAATATTATAACAGATCCCACTGTCCTCAAGCACTATTTACTGCCTGCCCCTGCCCAGAAGTTTTTAGCAACTCCCATTTTCTTCTGGAATGACAGTAAAACTCCAAATAATGGGCCTCCTACTGAAGGGAACCCTTATCTAATTGCTCGTGACTCTTTTTTCTTTGCACATGCAACGGTTCCCTTACCTTATCTCCAAACCACATCCCTCCCCCTCTTTCAAAACAATACTTGTCTCACTTCTTTTGTGAAATGATATCTTTCCTTTGAACTCTTACACTGTTTCTTTTTATGTATCTGTTCAATTCAACATTCATTCATAAGTGCCTACTATGTGCCAGGCATCATACTAGGGCAGTGGGAACACAAAGACAAAAAACTGAATTGTTCCTATGCTCAAGGAGCTTACATTCATCTGGGGGCAAATAACATGTGAATAAAAATAAACAGAAGGGATTTTTTTTGGGGGGAGGGGGGATGGGAAGGGAAGGTACAGTACGGAGAAAGGGTCCACTAACAACTAGGAGAAATCTGGAAAGGCCTCTTGTAGGAAGAAGCACTTAAGTTAGGCCTTGAGGAGAGCTAGGGTTTCCAGAGGAAGAGGTCAAGCCAAGAACATTCCTGGCATAGGGGGAAGCCTGTGAAAAGGAATAGGGATGGGAATGTCATGTATGTGGAGTATCAAGTAGGCCAACTGGTCAAAGCCTAGGGTGCTGGAGGCTAGCAAGGTGTTATCAGGCCTTAAAGTCACACTGTGGTTAGATGGTCAAGGGCTATAAAATTCCAAACAGACAGAAAGGTTTACATTTTATCCTCCAGGCAAAAGGGAATCATGGAAAGCTTCTTAAGCAAAGGAGTGACAGTTTAGAATTACATTTTGGCTTGTTTTAAAGGAATTTTGTGTACATTTTCTATCTCCCAACTAGAAGGTAAACTCCTTGAGGACACAGACTGTCTTTAAAAAAAAAATCTCTCTCTTAACACTTACCATAATGCCTAGGTGCCTGATAAGTGGTTGCTGAATGAAGAGATGTCCCATACTAGCATAAGCAATTCAATAAACCACACTGGTAATCCTAGCACTTCAGACACAAGTACAAAGAACTGATACATGCCTCAGCTAAATCTGTCTCCTCTACTGTTATTTCATTTGTGTTTGAGCAGGATCCCCCCACTGATTCGTTCTTCAAGACAAGTACCGTGGCTGCAACCTCCTTTTTTTTGTCCCGTCCAGAATTTAGGCACTTGATAAATGTAGCTGGCTGACTAACTCTGACAGAGTTTGATGGGGTAAATGGGATAGCCGAAGTGACTGCACCTCATATTCAGGCTGATTGACCACTCCCTGTGACACCAGGGTCTCGGCATATTTCTGCAACACAGGTTTCTGTTTTCTGATCTGCTTGTACATGAGGGGCTGAGTGAACATAGGTTCATCCATTTCATTGTGACCATTGCGTCGGTAACATACCTATATAGCAAAGGAAAGAAGTATTAGAAAACTAAATTCTCTAGTTCTGTGTGGGAAATAGTAAAGTCTCAGCAAAAAACACATTGGGCTGGAACTCAGGAGATCCTAGTTTTAGTCCCAATATTACAAAGTAACCTTTCATGTATCATTCAACTTTCTGGTTCATTCCTCTCAATCAGGATGTCTCTGCCTTCTTAATTCTTAGGGATGCTTTGTGAGCTTAAAAAAAAAAGGAAATGCTTTAAAAACATAAGCGTCTTCTTAAAGAGAACAAAAAGAAGAGACAAAAAAACAAGTCAACATTGGAGGGGTTGTAGAAAGATAGGTATACTAATACATTGTTGGTGGAGCTGTGAAATGATATAACCATTATGGAAAGCAACTTGGAATTATGCAAATAAAGTGACTACAATGTCCATGCCCTTTGAACTAGAAACTCCGTTGCTGGGCTTATACAAATTACTAAGAAAAAAGTCCCCATATGCAGTATTCCAAAATATTTATAGCAGCACTTTTTATGTAGCTAAGAATTGGAAACAAAGTAGATGCTATCAACTAGGGAATGGTTAAACAAATTATGATACAAGAATGTAATGGAATATTACTGTACTGTAAGAAATGATGTGTGTGATGAATATAGAGAAGCATGGAGAGATCTATATGAAGTGATGCAGACTGAAGTAAACAGAGGGAAGAAAACAACATAAACAGTAACTACACCAATGTAAATGGAAAGATACCAAAAATCAAAAGTAAATGTAATACAATTATAGAGATCAAGTGAGACTCTAATGAAGACATATGGGAAGGCACCTCCAACACACCCCTTCATGGAGATGGGAGGTCTACAAGTGTTACACATTGCACCTGTTTTTGGACTTGATTTTTTTTCCTCTCTAAAATACCCTTTCTCATATGGGACAGCTTTCAGGGAAGGGGAAAAGAAGGGACACGTGGGATACCATGGTGATGTAAGAAACAGAAAATATCAGTAAAAACTTATTTTAAAAAAGAGAAGGTAACATGCTTAGTAAGAAATAAGTTAATTGAGAGAAAAAGGACAATCTCATAATTAGCAATTTTCTTATCACTTCAATGCTCCTGTCAGCCAGAAATAATAAGATGACTTGGCATTTATCTGTGCTAGAAAAGAGCAGAAAAGAGTCTCTAAACTGGAGGCCAGTGAGCCTGACTGATTCCTGGAAAAATCATAGAACGGTTGAGGTAACCTGAGGATACTTAACTCAAAGAAATGGTGTTTGGGGCAGGGAAGCTGAGATGAACATGACAGTTTTAAGTATATTTGAAGGGCTAACATATGGAAGTTTTACTTGGGTCCAAAAGGCAGAAGCAAGAGCAGTGAATAGAGGTTGCATAAAGACAAATTTAGGCTTAATGTAAAGCAAAATTTCCTAATAACCGTTTGGACTATCAAAGTGGAATGAATGCCTTGGGTGATTTCCCCACATTAGAAGTCTTCAAGGGAAGGCTAGACGACCATGTTAAATATAAGTAAAAGGGATTCTTATTTAGGTTGGACCAGATGATCTTTGAGTCTCTTCTAACTCTGAAATGCAATGACTTTTGAACTGGATGAATATTTACAAGGATTAAATAATGGGGAAAATTCTGAGTTGACAAGACAAGCTAAGATTCTCTCCTTCTTTCCTCTTAAATCCCCACAAAAACCCAAAAGCAATGAGAAGCAAGTTAAGGAGATAAGGCATTAATGCCCATGGCGCTGATATACAGAGTCCCAGAGCATCAACGACTGAATCCCATTGGTTACTTACCAAATCCACAACCACATCCTTATGAAAAGTGCTCCTCCACTCAGCAGCCACATTGCATACATACATAACTGCTTCAGGGTCATCGGCATTCACATGGAAAATTGGTGCATTGACCACCCGGGCCACATCAGTAGGGTATGGAGAAGAACGGGCCATTCGGGGGTCTGTAGTAAAACCAATCTGCATGGAAAACGTCCTGAGTCAATGAGGATTCTCCTGTAATCACTTAAGGCAGCCTCCTACTAGCTCCATCAGTATCATTCATCATCATCACCACCACCACCACAATAATCTAATCCCGAGATTACAAAAGCGTGAACGACGCTAAGAAGACCTACATACATTCGACCTAAAAACTATTTACAGACATAGCAACTACAAGGGGTTACCTCAACCCAAGTAATTTCTTCTTCTTTTTTTTTTTTGGCTAGGCAATGGGGTTAAGTGACTTGCCCAGGGTCACACGGCTAGTGTTATATGTCTGAGGCTGGATTTGAACTCAGGTCCTCCTGAATCCAGGGCCGGTGCTCTATCCACTGTGCCACCTAGCTGCCCCTTCAACCCAAGTAATTTCAAACTAACATTGTGATTGTCTTATAACTAACCCCCACTGTAAAGTCTAGAAACCCTGCTGTTCCCATGGAACTGTTTTTGTTTCTCAAATACTGCATTTTGCAACATCAGTGAATGTCATCAAGCACAGCATGTCTTTCTGTAGCAGAGAGAAAAAGGCCCAGGCTTGCCACAGCTGTCACCTGAGATGCCAGGAGAAGCTATGGAGAAGGGAGGGAGGGAGGGAGATGGAAGGGTAGGAGAGTTTTCTAAATACCGCCTCTGCTCATCCTCATTCTTATGTACATAGACAGATTCTCAGACAACTTTCACCCATGTGGCTAAACAAAGCACAGGGCTTTATAAAATGACATTCCCAGGAACAACACACACACACACACACCCACACACACACACACACACACACACACACACACACCCCAGAAGAGAAGACAGAACAAGGCTCTTCAGGGTCACAAAAGAAAGTCTACTATCTGTAGCAGGAGAACAACAGTCCCAAATCACCTTCTAGCTCTTCCCTTAGGCACAGTAACACATTCACTGTAAAGGAGGTCCATCTGCTCCTGCCACAGTTCTTAAACAATCAACTGGTATCCAAAGGCCATAGAAAAGTTTATTTTGTTTTTATTGAAAGACCAGGATAAATGCCTACCACTTAAAATAGGGAGGTTTTTACAAAAGACTGGGAATTATAAAATATCTAAAGTTGCTTTTTAAACAATTTTCTCTTTCATTATCCTCCTACAGAGATAGTACATACAGTTGGGCAGCAATTGATCAGATCTAAGCACATAGAGAAGAATTGCAGGTACTATCTGTGTACCTCGGGGAAAGTAATTTACCCTCTTTGGGACTGTTTCCTCATCTAAAAGGAGGGAGCTGGTCTAGATGACCTCCAAGTTTCCTTGTAGCTCTAAACCTAGGGTCCTGTGAAATGTCTGTAGAGTTGAATATTCAAATGGCTTGGTGAGCTCCATCATGGTGGGAACTAAAGCCAATGAATGAATATTAAAAATCAAAGGAGTATGGCACAGTAGCAAGACCTGGGTTCAAATACTGTCTCTCACACTTATTAGCTGGGTCACCAAGGGGAAGTCCCTTTACCCTTCCTTAAGCTTCAGGCAAGTCTATAATAATAATAATAGTAATAATAATAATGATGATAGCAGCTAACATTTATATAGTGCTTACTATGTGTCAGGTACTGTGTTAAGTGCTTTGCAATTATTATCTCATTTGGTCCTCACAACAACTTGGGGAGGTGGGTGCTATTAGTATCCCCATTTTACAGTTAACAGAGAGTAAGTGACTTGTCCATGCACACATAGCTAGTAAATGTCTAAGGACAGATTTGCCCTTGGGTCATCCTGACTCCAGGCCTAGTGCTCTATTCATCGAGCCACCTAGTTGCCCCTTGAAGACGATTGCAATCTGCATTAGTAGGAGTTCCCATACTGACAAAACCACAAGTCTTTGATATAATGATATTTCTGACATTTTTAAAAGTAGCTTTTGTATTTATTCTCCTACAGAAGAAGAACTGACAAGGTTGGCCAATCATGGATATAGCACTTCCTGTTTGGTTGTCATTCCGCTAGGACACAAGACACTCCATGGAGCACAATGTTCTTGCTACATCCTGAAAATGGCCAGGATGGGCTACCATGGATAAAAACAATTTAAAAAAGATTTAATTTTATCTGTAAAGCAGATGAGAAACTCTTCAATGAGAGGAAAAGTCAGCTCTGGATGAGAATGCAGCCACCACAAATCAACCAGAAGAGAAGTTCAGGAGCGTAGTCCAACCATTTTGTATTGCCACACCCACTTGTAACAACAGTAGGTGAGGATGTAACACCATTGGGAAGGCAGGACTAGAGCCTCTCTGCTCTCTCATACCTGCTAGATGAGAGATTTAATCACCCAAGACTTTGTTTTTTTACTTAAGAGTATTTTATTTTTTTCTAATTACACGTAAAGATAGTTTTTAATATTCAACTTTATAAGATTTTGAGCTCCAAATTTTTCTCCCTCCCTTCCCTCCCCAAGACAGCAAGCAATCTGATACAGTTTATACATGTACAATCATGTTAAACATATTTTCACGTTAGTCATGTTGATCACCAAAGCCTTTTACAACAGTGAAGGCTGCAACCACCCCAATTCAACCAGGAGAAAAATTCAAATGGAGTAGTCTAGCCATTCTGGATTCTTTACACCCATATTCCATCCTGTCCTGATTTTGTGATGGCTCATGAGGTTCCTTACATCTTCAATGACCCCGCTTCCCCTTATCCACCCCTAGCCTATTGAAATCCTATTCCTGCTCTAAAGACAAACTCAGATACCACTGCTTCCATGAAGCCTTCCTTGACATCCTTGAACAGCTTCCCTGTAGAGGACTCATCCAATATTCCAGATGACTTCCTCAAGGTTTTAACATTACCCGAATACTAGTACAACAGTGAAGGTGTCTCTTGACTTTACTCCTGCCAAATGACCAGCTCACCTCCTCTTCTAATCACTGATGACACCTTTTATGCCACTTCTTGTCTATAAGTCATGGTTGGCAACATGCTGCAGCCTCCTTACGTCTACCATACTTCCCTCCATTGCTTTCAGATCAACTGTAATTTTGATTCTTCTTCTTCTTTTTTTTTTTTTTTGCTTTTAGGCAATTGGGGTTAAGTGACTTGCCCAGTGTCACACAGCTAGTAAGTGTCAAGTGTTTGGTGTAAGGCCGAATTTGAACTCAGGTCCTCCTGACTTCAGAGCCAGTGCTCTATCCACTGCGCCACCTAGCTGCCCCTGTAATTTTGATTCTTAAGAGATTGTGGTATTTCATGATTTACAGCCACATAACATCACTGGTGCTGGTATAAAAAGAATGAGTTTTTGTTGCAGGGAGCAGCTCAGGGTCATTGAAAATGCTTCACCATTTCCCAAATTGTGGCCCACTCTTTTTCTTACACTCAAGAGTCCATTTGCAGTATCTGACTAAGATATATGCACTGATGGACCAGTTCAAAAGCCTATCCATCCAAAAGCATACTGGAGTTTAGACAAGACGTATTCTTCAACCACCTATTTTTCCCTGTGTGTATAGTTAGACTGAACTCAAATGTCTACTGATTTCATTTAGGAGGTTCTGTAACACTCTGAGCTTGATGTTATCAACACAATGTCTTCTGAAAAAAGAATTGCCAGGGAAGACTTCAGCATTATAGGAAAAACTCTCTTCCAATGATTTTTTTGCCAAACATCCTGACAGTACCAAATACTTTTCGTGAGCATGTGTTAGAGTATTAAGCAAATTTATATCCATTGCATCCATCAAAGACTGTGAGTTATCTTAGGTAGGAAGCTAGGTGGCACAATGGATAGAATGCTGGACACAGGATCAGGAAAATCTGAGTTCAAATCTGGTCTCAGACACTACTTAGCTGTATAACCCTGGGCAAGTCACTTAACCTATCTGCCTCCGTTTCCTCTTCTGTAAACTGGGAATAATAATAGCAACAGCCTTCTAGGGTTGTTGTGAGGATAAAATGAAATAATATTTGTGAAATTACATAAATGCTAACTGTTGTTTTCATTATCATATGCCTGGGAGACACCTTAGTGGACAGCCTCTGAGGCCATATTTTGTTCAACTGAACCCAATGCTTCTTTATAATTAACCAAGAAAGAACAGGAGAATCTTGTCTTCTCTGCACCTGAAGCATAATACATCATTTGTGAAAGCCTGCTTGTTCTCATGTTTTCTATCAAGGATGCCTTTGACAGATGTGTAGATTATTTTATAAAGATTTCAGAAAAATGAGAAAGTAGGCATACGAGACTAAACAATGAGTTTTTTAGGTCCTGTTGATAGCCTTTTTTGGGGAGTGAGTGCATGTGTAATTCTTTTACCCCAGTCACTCAGTATTTTCCCCTCTTCAAGCTATCTTGAGAATCCCTCAGTGCCCTCAAAATCATGGCACCTCCAGCAAAGCTTTCCAGATGATTTTCCTGTCTTTGTCTTCTTTGCTGCTATTTTCATTTCCCTATACAATACTTCTCATGCAGTTATCAAGGACTATTTTGTAATAGTTCCCAGTGTTTGCATCATGTCCCCCTCTTAGACGATTAAGGACATAAGCGCAGGAACCCGTCATATCTCATCTATGAATTCTGTCTCTCCGACAGCTCCTAGCATTGGGCACTCTTTGTGTGGTAGGCAGTGTTTTTTGAACTGAAATAAATCTGCAGAAATTTCCTTTACTAATACTGATTATAAGATGATCTTTGATCAGATACTGCAAAATGCCTATGCTAAGGAATATAGCTAATGTTTCAGTAAGGTTTATGAACTTTAAGGGTTAGATAGGAAAAATCCATGTTACCTGATTGTTAACAACCACATGCACAGTGCCGTGTGTCGTATAGGAAGGAAGGTCACTCAAATGGAATGTCTCATACACAATACCCTGCCCGGCAAATGCAGCATCTCCATGTATAAGGATGGACATCACCTAAAAGATATAGGAGAATAGGTAGACAGTGAATTCAGAGACACTAAGAATCCAGATGGAAAATTCTTCCCTCTAGATCCTCAAACTCTACAAGGTAGTGAAGACTGATGTGGAATTTTTTTGGTAGTAAATTTAGAAAGAACCAAATTTGATGGGTGGAAGATCCAGAGAAGTTAACCAAGTTGACAAAAGGCAAGCTGACAAAAGTGTAGTGTAAGGCTAAAGACCTGGGTTTGAATCCTGCCTCTGACACATACTAGCTGGACAATCACATTTAACCTTTTAGTGTCCCAGACTCTAAGACAATAAGTTAAGACAGAGTTGCTGATTTACACTGGCGAAAGGAGTTTTCACGTAGAGAGTTCCTACTACTGATGAAATCATAGATTTGGTCTGTGGGTCTGAACTAAAAACAAGTGTCACACTCAAACGCAAAAAAAGGTTAACCCGGGAAGGTGACCAATGAGTAAAAGTATCAACAGTGACACGCAAAGGCCTTGCTTTTTCACTGACTCCAGAGACTTTGACAGGCTTTGGGACATGATGCCTCAAACTGTATTTACTTTGTAGATGGTTAAAATCAGTATAAAAAGGTCATTAGTGTGAATTTTTACCTTTTAAGTTTTCATTTTTATTTCTTCCCCCCCAGAGATCCTCAGCTCTATTTTTCTAGGCTAGTCATTGACTTTGTTTTCAGCTGTAATCTCACTTCCCAATAACACCTTACTGCTAGATCTCATCATTCCTTGTGACCTCTTCTTGGTTCTCTGGCCATGCTTCAGTGCTCAAACATCAGTAACTCATTTGTCATTACCATGGCTCCCCACACAGTTAAGTGGCTGTAATTGCAGTCTCAGGGACATGATAAACAGGATGAAAAGATGTAATTACATACCACACATGTAAATCTGATGGTAACTGTCCATTCTCAAAGGATTTATTTAGCACTGAGTCTCAAAATTGTGGTCCACTGGGCATGAGCTGTGTCTGTGTTTGCTACATTCTGGCATTTGAGAAATGCCTTCAGATAATAAAAATCCCCAAGGCTGCATAAACACTGAGCCAAATTTGGTCAGGACTCACAAATCCTGTACAAGGTTACGTAATCTTTCATGTGTACTGGGTGCCATTATGTAATAGACATACCCCAGGTTTCAGATTTCTTAACTGTAAAAAACACTGAATTCCCTGGTAGATACAGAGCAGCAGCTACTGGTGCCTTGAGGGGGAAGAGCAGGTAACTCAATTATGGGGGGTGGTGGAAAGAATGGGGAATATAAGAACAGAGCTGCTGGGAAAGAGGACAGTGGCAGAGAGAAGGGAATGGAAGGATGGGAGAACAGCTGCTGTCAACATACATGATTCAAACTCAGACTCTCCAAGGTGGTCTCCTCTAAAGTTTCAGCCTTTTGTTTTCACACAACAGTCATTTCCTGGCATGTTCCCCCAAGCCCACATCCTGGACAGCCCCCTGTGCAGTGGAGGGTGCTGGATGTGGATCCAGGCAGCGTGGCTCAGATCGTGGCTCTGCCTCTCATCATGCCTCTGTGACATTTGGCAGGTCAGCTGACTTTTAAAGTTCTGCCTCCTCTTCTGGAAAGTGAGGAGTTTAGATCAGATGACCCTTGAGGGTCCTTCTAACTCTAAATTTATGAGCTAGGAATAACACCAACAGACAGAGTGATCTCCTGTCTGGGTGAGCATCGTTTTACTCTTGTGTCCTCTACAATTTCATAAAAGAGAAAACCATGGGGTCTCCATCAGCAAAACACAGTATCATTTGACTGGGCCCCAAATCTCCAACCAAAATCAGGAAAATGTAGGTTCCCTGGCAGTGAAGGGTGGGGGAGGGGGAAACAGACTGATGGACAATAGTTTCCTTTTTGTCTTTCTATACCCAGTGCCTGGTACACAGTAGGTACTTAATAAGTGCTTGCTGATTGAAAGTTAAAAACATTTGCTAGGGTTCCAATGGCAGCTTATTTTTGGTTTAGAAAAGATAAACGATTTTAAAGTGCTCATTTTTGTTCATCTTCTATTTTGTGTTGCTCATAATCTCATTATTTTTCAGGGATACAGGAATGGATTGAGGAGAATTTCCTGATTCTAAGAAAGACAAGGCAATCCAATTCACTTTTTCTTCTTTTCAAAGAAAATTTTATATAACATCTTGCCTCCCTGTGCTGCTCAGCCCCAAACACGATGTGCAGAATATCTGTGCCTGTGTTTCTGTGGCTTTCTAGCCTGATACTGCTAAGCACCGAGCCTTGCCATTATAGATAGTAAAATATTTGTTAATAAATGAATCCTAAAAACCTATAATAACTCCCTGTGAACTGTCAGGTAAAGTCTCAGATCCTTAACGTGGCATTTGAGGTTCTTCATAAGCTGAGTCCACCTTCTCAGACTCATCTTATCTCCTGCTTCCTAAGGTGAATCTTCTGTTTTAGGTCGCCTGGCTTCCTTGTTCTGCCCACACATCACCTCTGTTCATGCTCTCTCCAATCTTTCCCCTGAAAAGTCCTTTCGTATCCAACTATTAAAAACCTATTCATTCTTTAAGGCCCAGCACAAACTCACTTTTAAAAAATTCATAACAAGAAAATTTATTCTCTTCTGACACAACAGACCTGAATAACTTTTTATTTCCTTGTCAGACTCCTTTAGCTGCTACTAACTTCTTTTGAGTTTTCTCCTTCCAGTAAAGGTAGTTATTCTTCAGGGGTGTGTGTGTGTAAGGAGAGAAGGGAAAGCAGAGGAAGAAAAAAAGGGAAAGAGAAAAGGAGACAGAGAGAGAGAGAGAGAGAGAGAGAGAGAGAGAGAGAGAGACAAAAGAAGGGGAGATGGAGAGGGTGTACCCATATGAATGAGTCTTCCTCTCTTAGCCTCGCCTTTCCCATCTGTAAAATAGGGATGTCACACCTGTACTATCTACCTTAAGGAGTTGTGATGAAGCTCAAATTAAGTAAAGGGTGTTACACACTTTAAAGTGCTACCTGTTGTTATTCCCTATAGCGATACAAAAGAGGAGAGAAACAACATGTGTTTTTGGAGGGCTGTTACTTTGGGATGAAGCATCTAATCTTGAGATGGTTATTCTCATACGGATTTTGGTTGGGATCTGGGAATTCTTGCAATCCAAAATTTTTCAAGTGTGAAGATATGCTTGACGTGCTTCAAGTCATTTCTAAGGAGAAAAAAACACCACCTAGAGGTTTCGTGTCCTGTGAGACATGGAGGTGATGGCATGCCGAGCCTGACTACGTGGTTCTGTCAATCACATTCACAGCTGTCACCCTCTAAGGAACATTACCTTCTTTCCTTCAGTATCCCCACAATAAAACTGCTCAGCTTTGGTTTTCCCCATAACCACTGGATCAGCAGCCTCCAGGTGAGAAGGGTTTGCCACCAATGACAGTGTGATGTTTCTGTCTGTTACTCGGTTAATCCTCCGGTGATACATGCCCAAGTGATACTTCACATCTCCAGAACCCTAGAAACACCAATACGTCAACATATTTGGCAGAATAAAGTCATATTTTTGTTGCTGGAAAGGTAAAATTGTTTTAGTGTCCAAAAAAGTAGCTGTTCTAAGCCCCTTTTCCCCCCTTTCTTACTCAGTCTCCTATTCCTCTCCAGCAGTGGTGTCAAACTGAAACCGAAATGAGAAACCGAGGCAAAATATTTTGCCAAAGAGCATTCTTTAGTGTGTGGCTAGGCAAGATGAGAATGGAAAACTTCTCCTTGTCACTCTAGAATACAGATCCTCCATGTTGGAGGTGTCAAACTGATGGTTTTGGTGAGTATGGCTGAATTAGATTAAAACAGTTGGGAAATATTTGGGGCAACTAGGTGGCACAGTGGATAGAGCAGTGGGCTTGGGATTAGGAAGATATCTTCCTGAGTTCAAATCTGTCTTGAGACACTTCCTAGCTGTGTGACCTTGGGCAAGTCACTTAACCCCATTTACCTCATTTCCTCATCTGTAAAATGATCTGGAGAAGGAAATGGCAAACCATTTCAGTATCTTTGCCAAGAAAACCCCAAAATGGGGTGACATGAAGAGCTGGGACATGACTGAACATGATGAGAAATGTTTAACGACCACAAAAAATAGCGAAATACAACATAAATATTAATTGGTGGCTTTTTTCAGGGATCTGTTTCTATTTGACTTTGACACCACTGCTCCATGCCAACGCCTAAGGATTTGGCTGCAAGGCTGGCAACCCGCGCTATTGGTATCAAAGGGCAGCATATCAAGGTGCTTAACCTGGTAATCTAGCCCTGCTTATCATTTGGCTACTTTGCCATTGAGGGACAGTCCTTTGCTGTTGTCCTTTTTATTCTCCATTCTCTAACATCACAAAAGGTATCCTGGTCTTCAGGAGCTCATCACTAGTGATAGGTTAATAGATATGACACTAAAGACTGGCCAAACCAGTCCCAAGGGAAAGGTGGGCAGTAGTGTTTCATGACTAAGCCACGTTCACTACCAGCAAACCAGAATACCCATGCACACTTTCCTCTAGGGAAACCTTAGCAAACCAAATAAGCTGATGACCCAGCCTCAGTAGACAGGAGTAACTCCACAAACTAGGCCCCAAGAAACCTCTTCAGCAGTCCTGAGTAGTGAGTGCTACCAAGTTTAGTGGATGCCAAGCTGCAGTGAAAGCAAGACAAGTGACTCACCTCATCAGCCGCCTCCAATTTTGAATCAAATTGACAGAAAATCTGCTCCAGTTCCTTCCTGATCACATTTGCAAGCACATTCAGGCGCCCTCTGCGTCACACACACAAACAAGGTGGGATCAGCAGACCTGCACTAACAGCAGTCCCTGAATCCAGTGACAAAAGTCACTGCATTCAATTTCTAGTCAGCCTGCAGGTCTTTTCATCTTCCTTTGCTCCCACTGAGCAATCATGGCACACAACCACTCCTCTCTTGGTGGCACAGGTATAATGACTATTGGGGGGGCTGACACAGCACCAACTCACTATGTCCTGGAAGCCTAAATTTCTACTTTGTTCAGGGGTGGCTGTGAAGAGACCTGTCTCAGGCTGTGGTTTTCTACTACCCACCCATACAGGTGTTATTCTTCTCCATGTTCTCTTTTTTGTCCTCTCCCAACATGGTTCTTGATGATTTCTGATCATCCCCTATAATGCATGAATGCCCCAAACTCCACTCCAAGGAGATATTAACTACTAATCTCAGTCTTTACGATACAGTGGAATTGAGAGTCAGAGGCCCTGCTGGCTCTGCCACTAGTGACTTTGGGAAAGCTTTGGATCTTTGAACTCCAAAGTCCTAATCCCAGGACTCTAGGAATTGTTCCACACAGAAACATCCTTAATATAAGTCATAACAGGAAGGGCTCTTTCTTCTAACACAAAGTTATGCAAAATTAGTGGTATACGATAATAACCTCCAAATTGAGAGGGCATTTTCCTGCAAGCACAAAAATGGTAGTCCTGTGATGAAAATTAAAATAGAAAAGGACCATTATTTTATGAGGTGCTGGATCATCTAGTACCCAATGGTACTGAGGAACAGGTGATGGACTTGAAAACTAAATGCTACTTAAAACAAATAGATCTTAAGGTATCTGTTAGTTTATTTTAACAATAGTTAATGTTACCAAAAAGAGACTTCCTATCTTCCTATAGATACCATTCACACCCTTTTACTCCCATCACAGGTATCTTTAAGTGGGACAGACATGGCTTATAAAGAGCCCACCTGGTCCAACAGCATCCTTTCTGCTCAGTTTACCTGTGTGGCATTCCCATGATCACATAATCCACTCCATTTTCACTTGATTTGTCAATTATAGTCTTCAGGGCTGGTATTAGCACTTCACAACCTTCCAAGCCAAAACGTTTCTCAGATGACCACTTTCGCTGCAGGAATTCTTCAAACCTGGGAGACAAGGGTCCACGTAAACTTGCAGTTAGCTTCTTAAGAATGGTATAGACCTTGTACCCAGTTACAGCCATGCTGTGTGATGACTAATACTGATAGATTTAACCCTTTTCAGCAATACAAGGATCTAAGACATCTCCAAAGGCCTCATGATGGAAAATGCTATCCATATCCAAAGAAAGAACTATGGAGTTTGATTGCAGATTGAAGCACACTATTTGCTATTTTTTTCTTCTGTTGTGTTTTGTTTCTTTTTTCTGGTGGTTCGTCCTGTTGGTTCTAATTCTTACTTACAACATCATTAATGTGAAAATATGTTTAATAGGAATGTATATGTATAGCCTATATCAGATTATGCACCGTGTTGGGGAGGGAGGTAGAGAAAAATTTAAAACTCAAAAGCTTATGGAAGTGATTGTTGATAAATCAAAATAAATTAATTAAAATTTAAAAAAAAAGAGAGAGAGAATGGTATAGACTAACACATGAGAATTTTCTGATTATCCGGAAATAAGATCCAAACAATTAGAGAATGCCGGAGCTGGATGACTTAAGCACAAGAATAACTCTTCTTTCACACCAATGTTTCTATAATTCTGTTCACTGAGAGCCTGAAATTCTACTTTGTAAGGTAGTAGATGAATGTAGAAACTGGGCAGCTGAGGTGTGGAGGCAGTCTGTCTCAGACTACCTTCCACCCAGGCAAGTGGTATTATCCCTTCTACATCCTTCATTTTGTTTTTCCCCACTATTAACTACTCCAGATTTCTAGCCATTCCTTTTAACTCATGAACACCTCAACTCTACTTCTGTGGGATTTTAACTATTAATCTCTATCTTGCAGCATATTCAAGTCTAAGTTTGAAGGAATACTCCTGTCCTAACAGTAATTTCAAGTAAAGTTATGGATTCTATGTCTTCAATGACTGAAAGTTGGATTGTGAGGCTTTAGAATATGCATTTGTGTGGAAATGTATTTCTTTGAAAGGCTTGCATTCTGGGGACACATGCTATAAAAGGTCTTTGGAGCTTCAGCCTGTAATATTATACCAGACATGTTTACCTGGTTGACCGAACCAGCCTTGCTAGTAAAGTGCGCTTCTCCTCACTTGTGAACTGCATGATGCCTGGAGTCTCAAATTTCCGTCTGATCCACTGGCACTGCTCCAGGTCATTGATAAACATGAATTCCACTCCAATGTGCTGGCAATAAGCCATCTATTTTACAAACACATAAGGAAAGCAAAGTACTTAAAAAGGGGTTTTGGCTGAGGACAAAGTGTCACGACTGTTCAATTGGACAAAAGCATGGTAGTCAACTCTCTAAAATGCATCCTCCTTTCACTGGCATGAAGAGAATGAGTGACCTAAGGGGTAGTACCAAAGATAGGGCCAGCTCCCTTTCCCTAAACTTGGTAATAAAATATTATCTGCTGGGACTCAAATAAATGTTGTGAGATTCAAATGGGCAGTGAAAAGAGGCAACCAGAACCTTTAATTTCCATCCTGTGGCTTACTACTTTCATGCCAAGACCACTTATGTGCAATAGTTAGCATCTTCCAAAAATCTTCCTCATCAGTTACATTTATGGTAGCAAGAACAGATTATGTTAACTTCATGTACTAGGTAATCCTCCAAGGAGGATTTCCATCCCTAGGAAGGTGGCTTCTTTGGCATCATAACGTTAAAGCAAAAAAAAAAAAAAAAACCACTTAGCCACTGAATATGTTGTGCTGGTTAGAAATGGCAAGAGGATCGTTATAGAATATATGTTAGGGATGGAATTGACTTTAAAGATGGTAAAATTCAACCCCTTCATTTTTACAGATGCAGAAACTGATGCCTAGAGGGATGAAGTGACTTGTCTAGTGTCAAGAGTCAGTAAACAGCCAGGGCTAAGATTTAAACCTAGGACCTCTGACTCCATTTCTGTTAGTCCTGGGTTACCTCTCTTCAGGAGAACCTTCATAGTTTCTCTTCTTTAGTTTTCATAGGACTACAGATCTAGGGTTAGAAAATTCCAGAAAGCTCATCTAGTCCAAAACTTTCATTTTATTCATGAGGAATCTAAGGCCTAGGGAAAATGAAGTGACTTGTCCAAGATTTGTCTAAGACAGGAAGTATCACAAGTGAGATTTGAACCCAAGTGCTCTGGCTCCAGAGCCATGCAATGCTCTTTCCACTGTATCATGCTGCCTCCTTGTATAAATAAACACGTAACTACTTAGGTAGGATTCCCTCCTTCCATTATTTCTTCCTCCATAAATTTCCAATAGCTCTGGATTTTAGCTTACTTTACCAACTGGGTTAAATACCTTTAAATTTCCACATCATGGTTTCATAGCTCATATTCTTGCCTCTCATCATTTACCATTCCTCATAACTTTGCTGCAGAATTGAATTACCTTATGGATTTCATTCCTTCTTAAAATGCAGTAAGCTGAATAAAAGGCGTATGTGCAGTTCTTAAGCATACTAATGCATCTAACATTGTTTATACACTGTAATCTAAAAATCTGTGTTCTATATTTCCCTACAAAAAATTTTCAGGATGCATGAAACATGCTGCTTTAGACATAAGGACAGAAAGATCCACACAGACATTTTGGGTACAACAAGGTAGGGTGTAAGGAAAGGGAATGAAGAGGGGAAAAAAAAACAGTAAGAGAGAGTGTAAAGAGATCTCATTTACACGACAGAAGCATAAACACTAGAGAAGGGGAGAGAACATGTGGAAGAGAACTGAAACAATGCTGAAACTTCACCTGGGTGGCACAATGCCTTCTTCAGCATACTTTTGCAGGGCTGTGAGGGGTCTGGGGTATGCCCCTGTCTGTCATCCTTAGGGATTCAAAGCTTATATTAATTGCAGTTTCCCAGAACACATGCTGGACAGTGAAGAGAGAGAAAGCAGTGGTAACAAGCCAATCTCTCCTTCTTTCTCTACTTTCCTATGCTCTAGAGACTTTTTAAAGTCAAAATGAGCATTTTGCTAGTCCTTGATCCATTATGTGTTGAATGAATCCAGTTCAAAAAGCATTTATTAAGCACTTAGTATTTGTAAGGCAATGAGGAAATGAGCTCTTGAAACCAAAGATAATCAAAACTCAAGAGACTTCTTCAACACATAAGTTTTAAGCATCTCAGTACAATTTCTTAGAATCATAGACATTTAGAGTTGGAAGAGACCATAAAAATCATCAAGTCCAACCCTTTGATTTTTCAGATGAAATAACAGGCCTAGAGCATTGAAGGAAGCCATCAAATGCCTCCCATTCATTAGGATCAGAACCCACACCTCACTTGTGGCATAAGAGAACCTTGCCTAAGCATCACAGTCATGATAGAGGAGGGAAGAATGCTTACTGGCCTAATTTTGGGAAGGATATCTCTTAGCCCCCCAAAGTGATTCTACAAGTCCTTGAGCAAGATAACTATTACCTTCATATGAAATCTATGATAATAAGATGATGACACCTAAACTGGGTTTAGAAGGTTACCCCAGGAGCAATGGACATTAATAATACTTTTATAGAATTTATAGCTAATTTGATCTCATAGAGTTTTAGTCTCCTACTGTGCTTGTTCTCTCAAGCCAATCTGAATGACAGATCTCAGGGTACCTACCCACCATAGCTACTGATGATGACAGAAAATGTACCTACCGGCACATGTCTGAGAATAATAGGAGTGATTAGCGATGTACAAGAATCAAAATCACTGCTGACCTGAAGGGAAGGGGAATTCTTGTCAAGTCTTATTAAAAGCTCCCTTCAGTCATCTTAAGAGTTCATTTTTTCCCCAGGCTCATCAACATGAGCTGTAATTTACAGCACAGTGAATTTTTAGTTCTTTGATCTAGCACTTATCATTTGATACTGAGCCCCCCTAAGACTCAAAGGTTTAGCCAAGAAGTAAGTGACTTAGTTTAGATTCTTGACATCCTCCTCTTATGTGTGAGTGTTTCTGTTAGAGACTTACAGGGAGATCTAGAACCAGGTCAAGCCTGAGGTTTCTCTTGCCCTCCTTAGAATTTTGGTGACAAAAATCTGAATTCTATCACTGAATAAGTCAAAGTGCAAAGGGAACTGACAGGTCAAATATTCCTGAAACGATTTGCTACTCTTATCCTTAGTTATGGAAATGGAATAATTTGGGAGAGACCCTGAATTACCCAATTTCTTTCAATTCTTGTTTCAATCCCTGGTCTAAAAAAGGCAGGACATTCTCCAGAGTTGGTTCTTAGCTTTTTAGGTTGATGTAGCAAAACCCAGCAAATCATGTGGCAATACTACCTTTAATTTTTTAAAGTTGTGAGTAGAAGAACACATTACACATACAGAAGATAGTACACAGAAAATTTAGCATTGTAATCAAGTAAAATTTACAATGAAAAATCTGAAACACAGAAAGGCATACACTAAGAGATTTAGAGAGCAGTTAGAAGAGGACCTCCATAACTATAAAAAACAAGCACTTTCTCTCTCTCTCACACACACATACACACACACACCCCTTTAGTCTAGACCTGTGATTTCATTAGTGTTAAGGAATTCCCAATGTAGAAACTTCCTCCATTGATGCATTTTAGCAACCTGTACCTTGGAATGTTGGGAGTTTGCCCATACACTCACACATACACACAGCTACACAGACACAAACTTCTTTAGTCTAGATCTGTGATTCTATTAGTGTTAAGGAATTCCCAATGTCGAAACCTCCTCCACTGATGCATTTTAGCAACATGTACCTTGGAATCTTGGGAGTTTGCCCAGGACACTGAGGTTTGCTCATGGGCCACACAGCGACTATGTGTCAGAGGAAGTACCGGAATCCAGTTCTTCCTGACTCTAAGGTCATTCATTTACTAGGCCATAATGCAGTTCTATGTCTAAGTCACTTAGTCTGGCTGAGCCTCAGTTTCTTCATCCATAAAATGGGGATTATAACAGAATCTACCTCAGAAGGCTGCTGTGAGGATCAAATGAGATGATGTCTATAAAGTTTCTTGCAAATCTTAAAGCAATGTATAAAATGTGAGCTGCTAAATTATTATGTGGATATATCACGTATATATTATTTTAATCAATAGGTAAATAGCTTAGAGTTTATGATTTTATGTTATTTATTTATATATTATTTTGTTCCTCATTTTAAAAATAATTCTTATAAACTTAATGATATTTTTAACAAAAAAAAAAATCTATGATCTTATGATCTCAAACAAGCCCCTACTTGTGTGAAGTGTTTCTACTAGCTTACAGAAGGAAAACAGAACTCTACCTATAGGTTAGGAAGGGCCAAAAGGGGTTTCCATGCTTTTTTTTTTTAAGAGATCCAAGAATAACTCTATGACTTATTGTGCTGCTGACACACATCACATAAGAGGTCTCTTACCTCTAGCCGGCGGATGATCTCTCGGAGTGGTAGGGCAGACTCCTTTCCCCCAATGAAAGTAGTAGTGGGCAAATGGAAGACCTTGTCCAGGTCCGATTCATGCAATCCATAAAACCCTGCAGGATTATTGTAGGTGGGACAAGCCAGAAGAGAGATGTATTTGCAGAATACGGGACAGCCACACAGGAACCAATTATTTATGGAAAGGGGGGAAAGGACTCCCCCCGGGAGAAAAAAATGAGAAAAAAAATCATACCAGACCAAACACATAATTAGGGAACAAATTTGCATGAAAATAAGTAATAAAATTATTCAGAGCCAGGAATGTAAAATTCAGCGGGAAACAAAAACAAGGAACAAAAATTAATGGGCAAGGTTAAGAGAGACAATCTAGTAAAACAATAAATACATGATTTGTGTACAAATGCTCCTAGTAGGGAAGCCATTTGTAACTATTTTAATCCCATATCCACAAACATTTCCAGGTTCCCCAAATCATTTGGGGGGGGTATTATGGGTGTGGAAAGGAAAAGATCACAAATGGCTTTTGAACAAGTTAGCCACAAATGGTTCAAAAATAGTTAGGGGAGAGAGTAAAAAACAAGGGATTAGTAATTCTAGTTAGACAACAAAAAGGGTTATATGAAGAATAAGGAATGAAATAGGAAAACAACCAGAAAGAAACAGGCATTAAAGCTGTGCATCAGAAAATCTGAATAGAAACCATGGGCCCTAAAGAAACTGGAGATAAGTAACAGGAACAATGCAGTGGGGAATACTTTAAAACAAAACTAAAACTAAAACAAACCCCCTAAATTCCTGCTTTCCTTAGCTCATTCTAAAATGTCTCAAATTAGAAAAAACAAAATGAACTTGACTGGCAGATTTTTTTCCCTTCCCAATTAATCAAATATTTATTGAATACTTATTGAGTGTACCACCAGGCACTTTCCTCATGTAAAATTTGGTGTACCACTTACTAGCAAATGTCTTTAAAATAACTCCTTCTCTACACTACTCAACCCCTCAGGATAACTCTCAAAGGAACTGACTGGCAAGATTCAGTAATGAACAAACTGACACTGAGAGTAAATTCGTAGTTCACATCATCACCCTGAAATAAAATTGTGGCTGGTTTTCAAATGGGCCCATCCTCTCAGGTTTGTAGAATAATTTACTTCCTCATCTTAGTGTATTCTCAGTCTCCATGAGATAAAAAGGGGCAAAAGAACACTGTAACTATTGGGTTGGAGAGGTACTTGGAAATTTGTACAATGATTGCATATGATAAGACTATCTTTACTACAAAGGCTATGCTCACATTCCTCAAACAACCGATATTCAGAACTACTCTGCCCTGCTCGTCCACGAAGACAAGTTTTGAGTTACTAGCTAGGAAAATTGGAATCTTGACACTGTACCTCCAACCCCACCCCCTCAAGGACTTGCTTCTTCCAGAGCAGTTCCTCTGTGCTTATTTATTTTTCCCATTTGTTAAGAGACTCATTAGATATTGCATTTATTTAGATCTGACCTTGTCAGAGGGTTTAAAGAAGCCTAGCCTAGCTAGAAATGAAGCATTCTGCCCTAAGACACAGTTTTTCAGCAATATCCAAACCTCAGGGCAAATTCAAAAACACAGAATTCACAATTTACCTTGCCAATAGCAGACAAAGTAGGCTTGGTGAAGGCTGTGGTAGCAAAAACAATGGAGGGCAACAGATACTCTAGGTCACCTATTCTCCTCATCCCCCCCTTTTTTCTGAGGGAATACTGAGGGGAGAAGTAAGGATCCTCTTCATGGAGGCAGTCCAGATAGGTAGGTAGATACGATGCAGGACTCCCCCAGTAAAGCAAAAGAGAAGAGGAATAGGATTAGCAGTGGCCTTTCAGAATACCAGGAGGAGTTTGGTTTCTTCAACTACCCTGGGTTACCACTGTAGGGCTCATACCATTCTTAGGCACATTACCCCAGGCTATCTTCCATTTCAGTGCCTCTTTCTGGGCATGAATTTTTCTTCTTCCTTCTTCAAAGAAATACTAGAGCCAGGGGGGATATATTACAGGTGGGAAGCAGAATGACAGTCTCCAGGTGGTTGGCCTCATTCTGCTCGGCTTGAATCCCCAGGGGAATGAAAGGGAGGGGCTTGCTAAGCTGGAGAAGTAGCGGTGAAAAGGAGTGGGTTTGGGATAAAGTGATGGAGAGGAACATCTGTCAGGGACAGGACTTTGAATAGCAGGCTGTTTTCTCCCACAGCAGCAAAGAGAGAAAAGGCAGGGAGTTGGGGAGTAGAGTTGCAGGAGTGCAGAAAAAATGGTAGCTGAGGCAAAAGCAGTTCCAAGTGGCCTCTAGGCATGCAGGTTCATTTCCATCACACTACTGCCACCTACCTGGCTGCAAACTAAGGAAGCCAGTTAGAATTCCTGGATAGGAAACTTATGCTCACTACTATTAGTGTCTGGAATGAACTGAGTCAGGCTGCTAAGAAAGAATGCTAGGGGCACTGATTCCTCCCAGGCATATACAACAGCTATCATCGCATCAGTATGAAAAGTCATGGCTATGGACACTGAGACCTTCACTGTATTTGCCAAGTAAAGAGAATTTGATTAAGAATTCTGCCTTAAAATACAATAATTTTGGCCCTGACTCTGGAGCATTTGATATGGAAACCTTGATGATATTGCTCAGGTTCAAAAGGAATCATACCTACCAGACTTTGTTGAAATAATTGGGTACCTTTCTCCTAAGAAAATATATATGTGTGTACACATGCACACACATACGTGATTTCCCTGGCCAACAGGGAAAATCTGAGAGGTCAGGAAGAAAACTTAGGGCTCAGAGGAAAGCTGACCTTCCTTATGGCTTCCCCACCTAATGCAGATGGCCAGGGAGCAGGAAAGAAAAGATCTTCCTGCATAGCATGGTGTGCACCACATCAGCAGGGAGCCTGGAACTAGTTATAGCTTAAAACCTGGACATTCAAGAGTCCCCCAATAAGGACAAGGACTTGAAGGCCTTGTCATCTTGGAGTTTAATACAGTAACCTGCTTCTACCAAAGCAGTCTCTCTGTTCTGACCTTGTTAGACTCTAAAAATCCAAACTGATTTCACCAGAAGGCTTTGGTTATAGTCTTTGTGATGACTCTAGCAATGTCAAAAGCTTCCTTTTTTCAATTCAGCAGTTTTACAAAACACAGGGGGTCAACTGAATGATTCTTAACCTCAGGACCTGCATAAACATATCTACAACAACTGCATGCGTTAATGATAAGAACTAGGTTGAAAAGCACTGTGATACAGGTGGACAGGGAGAGCTGGTCTCTGAATCAAACAAACAAAAAGTAATTTGGTTCAAATTCCACCTCTGACATGTAGTCTGTATGAACCTGAGCAAGTCACTCAGACTCTCCTGGCCTCAGGCAACTCTCTGAGCCTATAAATTGCAGACTGTTTTGTTAGGGGGAGTTTTCTTAGTAGGAGTCCCTAGCCTAATGAAATCACAGGTCCTCAATAAAAACAAGAAAAAGAAAAACATCCCAAAACCCTAGATGGCAACTTACAGCTTTGGGAGTGAGTGTGAGCTGGGCTTGGAGACTTGCCTTCCTCAGTTCAAATCCTGCCTCAGACACTTACTAGTTGTGAGCCCCTAGGGAAGTCACCAAACCCTGTCTGCCTCAGTTTCCTTACCTGTAAAATGAGTTGGAGAGGGAAATAGCAAACCACTGCAGTACCTTTGCTAAGAAAACCCCAAATGGGATCATGAAGCATCAAACAACTGAAAAATGACTAAACAACAACATGACAATATGCCATGCTATTCTCATCTCCTTCTCATTTTTATCATGGGCTAGCTATCCGAAAATGAAGAAAACCATCCCATTATCATGTGATCTCTCTTATCTAACCACTAAGTTCCCTCTCTTTCTTAATATGAAATCAAAAAGGTCATAGATTATAGGTTCATTAATTTAGGGCTAAAAGGGACCTTAGAGGCTATTTAATCCAACATTTTACAGGTGGAGAAACTGAGGCTCAAATAGGTTAAATGAATTCCCTGAGGTCACACAGGTAGTAACAGAGGCAGGATTCAAACCTGGGTCATGAAACTCTAAATCAAATGTTCTTTCCACTATAATAAAGTGATAGAACTTTAACCAAAAAGAGTCACAATTTTGCAGCAAATATTTAGAGGGAATAAAAGGTTGTAACTTAAAAAAATCATATGCCATATTGAATTCTTTCACTCAGAAGAGCTTGCTCTCTTTCACTCACACACACACACACACACACACACACACACACACACACACACACACACACTCTCTCTCTCTCTCTCTCTCATTCAGCCTTGTTGGAAGGCAGGTTGTACTATAGGATAAAATTTTAAACTCTAAAGCAAACTGTACCTTTCTCAAGCCCTTTTTGTTAAGAAATAGTCCAGTTCTGGCCCCCCATCCCTCTGGCATTTCCTTTAGAAAGAGAGGGACTGGAAGAGACTCTTCACTCTAATGGTCTGCTCTACTGTTAATGGGTCGTGGGGAAGAAACAGTTTTATTTATTATTGGGGAAATTTTTACTTGTTTTTGACAAAGCTCATTCCTGAGGAGAGCTCATTGTGATCCAAAATAAACTGGCCCAAGGATAATAGTGTGCTTATGGAATTAAAAAACCAAGTATCTATCCCTTGAAAATCTCTTTCGGGAAGAGGACAACCTGAACACAGATGCTGAAGATTCAAGCTTCCCTGAGATCCCTGGGAAAGGTTTTTTAGATGTGTAATTCTCTTGGTTGCCTCTGACTTTTACCTAGGGCTGTGGCTAAATCACAGGACTGGCCTCTGCTTTTTAGTCCTTCAGTCAAATTTTAAACTCTGGTACTTACATAGATCAAATTCTTACTGATGTGATGACCACGATAAAGAATAGATGGGGAATTTACTAGAGATTACCTATATAGGAATTTGGAGAAGGCCAAGGTTCAGGAGGAGACTGACAGGTTTAAGCAGGATGGCAGGTGAAGGCAGGCCAAGATTATCTTAAAAGCCGAGCTAAATTCTATATCCATTGCTCCTTTCCATTCTCTGTAAATGAAGAGAACCTCAGGAACCAAAGTTGTTCAGTCAGGAAGAGATGGATACTGCCCATTCCAATGAACTCTTATTACCAGTTTGGTTGTCCTTCACATTAAGGGCAACACCAAGAAAAGAATCTTTTCCAAACACTGAGGTACCAGAACAACAGAAGTTGGAAGAGTCCCAGGCTGAGAAGGAGCCACAGAACAGAACACAGAGAAAAGAATCCACTAACATGCAGAACTTAACATAACCACTGCTTGGCTCTTGGCTAGTGGCACCAAGAGGCCTAGACACTACGCCAAAGACCAGAAGCTCAAGATGAAGCAATGAGGATGTTTACATGAAGATGGAAAATGCTTTTGCAAAAACACAAAGGATGGGAAAATAAAAAATGAGGTCACATGTGACAGATGAAGGGATGGGAAAAACAAGTTTTTAAGCAATTTGCAAACAAAGCACTTGACCAATGACTGGGAAGCTGTGCCAACTTTCCCCAAACTGTGCATGCCCAGAAAAGTTGAACATTCGATTTGAATAAAGTCCTCAGCTCCAGAAGGGTGAGAGACTTGTTCTTTGCATACCTCCTACAGTTAGCATTCGGAGTCGCTCCTGGAAAACTGCGAGATCTGGGAGATGAGGGGAGAAGGAGGGAGGTGAGTGCAGAGGGAAAAAGACAGTAAGAGTTAGTTAAAAACACTACACCATGAAAGCAGTCAGGGAAAGCACAATTAAAATAACTTTAAACATAATCACACCAAAGGAAAAAGGATTAGTGGTTTGCTCTGTGAAATGGAAGATGACTACTCTGGGAAACAGAGATGGAAAATCCGTTGTAGAACAGCTGGAAATTCGATCGATAAAAATGAGAGGGGGTAAGGGGAGGCAGTTCTCACTGATGCACAGAAGCAATCAGGCAGCCTGGTTTGAGAAACCCTCATCTTTCTACACTTCCAAGCATGTTAAAGCAATTTTCTTAATTAGTCAAATATATCCATCTAGGTTGCTTTGAATAAACATTAGGGAAAATTAAAATACAAAAATTTGGGTTTTTTGATGTACCCTTTCCCCTTCAGGGTCAGTTTAACAGATGATGTAAATCATTCTTTAAATCCTAAGACTCTGAAAGAGAGGAAGATTATTGGCTTCCAAAGAAAGATTACTTGCTCACTGATACTCCTAAAATGGTGCCATGACCAGCATAGACAGAAATTTACTGGCAAGGAATTTTCAAAAATGAAATTAAAAAGAATGTTGTAGCAACAGATGGGTAGCTGCATGTTTCCTCCCCAAGGGGCTTTTGGCTGAGCATTCTATAGTACCTGTATTTTCCTCAATAACTTTTATCTGTCAAGGGAGAAAATTAGAATATTATCTTTAGCTGTACAAAGTATTCCATACTTCAGTTCAAGCTGCCTGGATATCAGAAAGCCTGGTGAGACATGTTAATGATAAGCCAAAGAGAGAAAGAGAAAGAGAAACAGAGAGAAAGAGAAAGAGAGAGAGAGAGAGAGAGAGAGAGAGAGAGAGAGAGAGAGAGAGAGAGAAGAAAAGCTGTGTAGTGCGGTACAAGAAGCTGGAGGCAGCCCGAGATCCACTCTTCAGAGGTCATCAAAGCTCCATCTCCAAGGATGCTAAAAACTGGGCATTTTTGGTTAAAATAGACTGGTAAGGGGCAGCTGAATGCTCTTTTGGATGTCAAAGGTGAGTCTTACAATTTTAGGGAAAGACCTTAGACTATAGAATATGGAATACAGAATATGGCGAGATTCTTCACTACCATCTTAGATTGATTTTAATGGCACTGAGAAAATAAAGGACAATAAAGGTATGCAACTCTGAACCAAATGAAGTCATGAGAAAGTCAGTAGGGGGACCCTAAAGAAATGAAATCAGTGTTCCTGATTTTTATTTGGGCTCTCAAAAGCCCAATATGACTTGGGAAAGAGGCCTAATCTTGCCTCTATTCCATAGAATCTGAAATCCAAAGGCTTCTTAAAGTATCAGTGTCTTACCTAACTTTCATTCTCTCTTTTCTAAGGATGGAGAACCCTGAGATTTCTTTCTATCCAATCCAAAGCATCAGATCTCATGACCATGCCATTACATACATTACAAAATTCCCCTGAGCTTATGCTACATCACTAACACTGCAAAAACCAATGAAGAAAATGAACCCAGAGAACATTGGAAGATACAACTCTAAGTCATTTACAGAAAATACTCGTATTTTCCTGGACTTGAATTCAGCAACATTTTCTTCCTTTAAAAAAAATGCCAAAAGAATACGTCTTTTCTAGATGAGTAGTCATGCGATGCTATGGACTACAATACAGTCTTCAATGACTCAAGGAGGATTCCACTCAAGTTTTTTTTTTGCTAGAAAAAGCAGAAGTCCCTATTGATCAAGTTGGTTCCTGCTCATATGCTTTGTGAGGAAAGAGGACAAAATCAGGAAGCCAAGAAATCGTGGCAAAAGCTTTCAAGGATTCAAGAATGATGAAAGTTTGTTATAGAGAAGTCTGTGCTAAGGCAACAAGTGATAAAGAAATGATTTGGTTTTGTCTGTGCCAGAGGAGAGCAAATTCATGGGAGACTGAGCAATACTGTACATGTCTAAGCAGTGGCCAAATGATAACACTGTCCCTTGTCTTTGCACAGTGACAAGAAGAGAAGGATGCGAGTGCAGGAGATTTTGCAAATGCCTAATCTAGAACAGAGTCTGAAGAAAAATGAACTTGTCTTCCTCTCCTTCCCCCCAGCTCTTATGCTTTAAGTATCTTGCTATACCTCCATTAATTACTAACTAGCTAAGGTTGATTTTCCTCTAGTTCTAATACAGGGTTTTACTTCTCTACATACTCTCCATTTTCTCTACCTCAACCTCTCACCCCAGCATTAGGGTAACTAAGCTCTGTTAATCACCTAGGGAACATACAGAAATCAACTAGTTACGAGGTAATAAGATTTCTAGTTGAAACAGAGGGCTAAGGAAAGTTTCTGGTGCTTTGATGTTGTTTAGTGAAGTAAAAGGGTTCATGTCATAACCCAGAGAAGCTATGGGAGCCAACTCACCTGAGATGGCATGGGAATTAGCTAGATTCAACACTTACAACATAAAGAGGTTACTCTTTCAAATTTTTAACTTTCTAAGAGGCTATTTTCATGGATCTGAACAAATAACAACTTTGCCCCTATCAAGTACTTTTCTACAAAAAAGTTCAAGTACCACATCCAGCACTTTCAACAACAAAATTTTGTGATGAGACCTGTGATTTCATTGGTATGAGGAAATCCCTTTGAAGAATTTTCTTCTACTCCTTCAGATTAGCACCTGCTCCACAGCCATACTTATAGACTAAATTTTAGAGAGTTCTCTGTTGCACTAAGAGGTTAAGGGTCACACAACCATGCCCACAACACTATTTAATTTAATTTTTTTTAATGTGAGGCAATTGGGGTTAAGTCACTTGACCAGAGTCACACAGCTAATAAGTGTTATGTGTCTGAGGCAGCATTTGATTTCAGGTTCTCCTGACTCCAGGGCCAGTGCTCTATCTATCTGGCTACCTAGCTGCACCCCCCACCCTGCCCCATTTTATTTAATTAAGAATGAGTTCTCTCCCAGGCTAATCTGGTTCCTGTTAAACCATATTACCCTACTGGTTCAAAAAGACACCCAAACTTATAACTGCCTTAGCAGAAAATTTTCTACAAACCAAGAGATGATGAGGATGCTCTGCAAAAGAGGTCTTTCCTTGATAAAAAAAAAACTGCATGACCCTCCCAATTTTCTAAACCTGAAAAATGAAGTTTTATGAATTGTAAACAGAGAGAGGGGAAGGAAGGTTTAAAATGGCTAGTGCTATGTAGCTTCTGTTTATAATCAAAGAAATACCTGTAATGAATTTTCAGTTTATCCTTAAAAAACAAAAACAAAAACAAACTATAGAAAGTATAGATCTTCAAAGAAGGGCAATTAGCCAAGCTGGTGAAAACTTGACTCTTCTGGTACCTAATTTCACACATACAGGTGTCAGACTCTTATACTGACAGGAAGAATCTATTGCCTTAAAAAACAAACCAAAAAACCCCAACACAGCTATAGAAGTTTTGGTTTGTACTTTCTTTCTCTTGAGAAGTTATGAACTGAAATTGCAGCAAAGACCCTCGAAGCAGGCTGTTACTCACATCATAACTAAATCAAGACTGAGCTATATCTAATGTGTAAAAATGTCATGAGGAGGAATTAGGCAGAAAAAAATTCTAGTTTACAAGACCCATAGAAACAAGGTTATACACAGTGGTTAGTTTTTCTGGTTTACTTTGGTAAAAAGTCTGGTTTCAATTTAGAATTATAGGAACGAATATATCTTCTTCTCACACTTCCAGCCTTGAAAAGCAGTGGAAATGAATATTTAAGTCAATAGTGGTAGGGCTTGGGGCATGAGATAAGGTGTTGATTGGGCAGGAAGGTACCTTCTGCCTTTGTGAACCCCTATTTATTCCCTTTCAAGGACAAATGTGGAAAAAAATGCAATCTTGTAGCTTGTAAGAAACTATTCTTAGTTTCATGTCTGTCACTAATTGGATGTGTTCTCAACTGTCAATTCCATTCCTGTCTGCTCTGATAGCTTGCCCTCCTATCATCTCTCTTGATATCCAACTTTTCCATATCTACTGGCTTCTTCACTGCTACTTCCTACAAATATTTCCAAATCTGCCCCACACTTAAAAAAAAAATCTCCTCAATCATCTAGATTCAGAAGACCTGAGTTCAAATTAGGTCTCAGACACTTACTAGCTGTGTGACTCTGTGCAAGTAATTTAACCTTTTTCCTCAGTTTCCTCAACTGCAAAATGGGGATAATAACAGCACCTACCTCCCAGGGTTGTCGTGAGGATCAGATGAGATACTATCTTTATAAAGCACTTATTAGCACAGTGTCTAGCACATAGCAGGTACTATATGAATGCTAATCCCCCTTTCCTCTTTAAACTATCATTCCATTCACCTTTCTCTCCCTTTTACTGTCAAAATCCTAGATAAAGCTGGCTATACGCTGCCTCTATTTCCTCTCTGCTTACTGACCCCATTTTCTCCTGGTTTTCTGGGCCTACCTAACCCAGCTGCTTCTTCACATTCCCTTCATCTGAGTGGACCCCAGGGTTCTGTCCTGGGCCTTCTTCTCTTTCTCTCCTCTCTTCTAGTGAACTCATTAGCTCCTGTGAATTCAACTGCCTTCTCTATACAACTGATAAGCAGTTCTAGGTTATCAATGCAGGCCTTAACTCTCCCGAGCTCCAGTTCTGAACCTTCAACCATCTGCCCCAACTGCCGTGTCCCGTAAGCAGCTCAAATTCAACATGTTCCAAACAGAATGTTTTCCCCCAAAGGTGGAACTCTTCTTAACTTCCCTATTTCTGCTGAAGGTACCATCACTCTTCCAGCAACCGTGGAGTCATCGCCAGCTTTTCCCTCTCTTCATCCTCATTTTTAATCAGCTGCCAAGTCTACTTTGACATCTCTTTCACCCTTCTCCTTCTGTCTACTCACAAGGTTACCACCCCAGTTCAGGTCCTTATCACCTCCCAAATGGTCTATGGCACCCTAACTGGTATCCCTACCTTCATTCCATCCTCTCTAAACTGACATTGCCAAAGCCCAGCTTTGACATGTCCCTCCCCATCTTAAGAAGCTCTAATGATTTCCCCCTTGCCTCTAGGACAAAACACAGACTACTGCTAGGCATTTAAAACCACATATAAACTAAACGTAGCCTTGTCTTTCTAGATTTATTACCCATTATTCTCTTTCGCATACCTACATTCAGCCAAGGCCTACTTTTCCTTCAATCTCCCATCTCCATGCTCTTGCACATGTCCACAATATACTTTCCCTTCCTAACCTTGGCCTCACAGAATCCCTAGTTAACCCCAAGGTTCAGCTCAAGCATCACCTTTACTGATCCCCAAGTATTAGGACTTGCTCCCCATTACTTTGCATATATTTTATATTTATTTAATTATACACATTCTCTCTCCCTGACAGACATTCCAATGTAAGTTTCCTGAGAGTAAGGATTGTTTCCATCTTACCTAGCACAGTGCCTGTCACATAGTAGGTGGCTTAGTAAACACATGAATGAATTGGAGTTTCAGTTTCCTTATCTAGAAAATGAGAAGACTGTACTAGGTGACCCTCAGCCATCCCTTTAAGTTCTAAAATTATGATCTGAAGTAAAATTTACTCATATTTTAGAAGCAAAAGCAAATTAAATCTATCCTGAATGTTTCATTAGGAGAATTCAGTTCTAGTCTGGACTGGCACTAACTGGCTATGTATTCTTAATTAAGTACCTTAAAAAATCTCTGGGCCCCTGTTCTTTCATCTGTAAAGCAAAAGGGCTGGCTCTAAAATTCTCTGTTTTATGATTCCTTGTTCTGTATTCACTCTGTATTATGATGCTCTTCAGTTACAGTAATATCTTCAGTGGGACAACAAAGAAATGACCCACAATTCTCCAGCTAAATGAATGTATTAAACATTCCCTGAAGCTCACTACCTACTGCTGCCAGCTTCAGAGTTCCTTATTCCACAGCCTACAATGGCTCCAGAGTCTTTAATTTACCCAAAGATTTGAACTTGGATCACTGGTCTGAAAAACAATTACTCAGCCCATATTCTAAGAAAATAGGCTCTGAATGTGGTCAAATATGCCACCTAACAGAGGTGGCAAGGGTTGTATTAGTTACATCAAGAACTCCTCCATGGATTCTGCATGGGTCACTATTCCCTGTTCTACCCAAGATCCATTGCCTCTTGAGGACTTCCCAAATTTTAAAAAGTATACTCTGCAATGGCCTCATGGGCCTGCAAAATCACCAAAGGTTTAGAGGGAGCAGACTGGGAGTGTTTAGTAGCTTAATGCTAGTTAACCAGGAAACCAACCATCACTTAAGATAATTAGTGGGTGGCAGGGTAGGTTCCAAAGATCCCTGCACTGACAGAATCATTACGTCTTGGATCATGAGGATTCCATCATGGTACAGAAATAGCTACAGGGCTTCTTCAAGCCCTTTATCATCAATGACATGCCTGGGTCTACCACAGACGACAGGAATCAGACCCATTCCAAAGCCGCTAGGCTAAATGGAACAAAGGTGATAAACAAAGGTGTACTGGGAATGTCTATGAGGACACTGGATAAAATGACATTCAGAAAATTTCCTCTAAACTTTTTTTTTTTTGCTATGACTAAGGTACGACTATGACAGAGGTAAAGTGAAAAGGAAAACTTATATCATGCTCAGAGAGTCAAGAAAAAGAAACATAATGACAAACAGATAACGTCAGTCCTAGAAACAAAGATCTCACAAGCTTAGATGCACGAGACATTTCTGGCATTCCACATCTACAATGCACTTGTGTTTGTAAGGTCCACAAATTTCAAAAGGATGAGGTAGAAGATTTTTCTTCTGTATTCCCTCCCCTCCCCAAAATGTCAATTTCCACAGTAGGACTGTGAGTAAACTAATGCCTTTGTTGTAGCTGTAGCTAGATAATCATCAAACTGTTAGCATGCACAATGCTTTTCTTGTGGGGCACCTCAGCCATTTTTGTTAGTGATAATTATGATTGCTCTAGCTCAGGTTAGCATGCCACTTGGGACATTTATGGATTAACCCTTGGAAAGCACCTGTGGTTAAGAGAGTTCAGCAGTTATTATCCTGCACTGAACTAATCAAACGCCAGCCTTCTGATTCGACTGAAATAAAGAGGAAGGGGTAAGGGATGCAGTGAGGATTCACTCAGATGCCTCTGCAGCCTTTTAATTCTAGCAGGATTCCATTTGTGTGGTGCACATGCATGTCTCCCAAATGGCTTGCTGATTCCAGCCTCTCTGTACTCCGTGGGAATGCATTCCAAAGTTTCCTCATTGTGATCACTGACATTTAGGAATTCAAAGACTCAAGCTGCACATTCAACTTGTAATGAAATTGATACCTACTGTAAGTAAGGGATGTGAAAGGCCTCCAGCCCAGTAAGAACTGTGACATGCTTCAGGCTCAAAGGGAACAGGAAGAGAAGGTTCTTGGGCAAAGCCCGAACTCTATCAAAGTCCCTACTTCTGCTATTCATCAAGCTTTTGCTCCAGGCCAAATACGGAACTGCATTTTATGGCCTAGAAAAGGGAAAACTGAAGGCAAAGGAGCTAGTCTTTGAAATACTCAGCTATTACATGTTGAAAATTTCTTCCCCTAGCACAACTAGGCTTTTTTTAGAACAGAAAAATTCATTTTAATTTTAGAGACTATTACTTATCCTCTTCTCCTACAATTAAAAAATTAAGCCACTAATTTATAAGGAGCTTAATGTTAAAGAATAAAACCAATTAAGTTTTTATTTAAACTAAATACATGCCAAAGGCACCAAAATTGGACTGAGGAAGCTCTAAAAGTCTCACCTATAAATTTAGAGTGATCAGTACAAAGGAAACTTAAGACTCTTCCCTACTTATCAGTTAAGCATTCTGGCTCCCATCAGCTGTGAAAGGGAGAGAGGAGCTCAAGCAGTGCGGCACTAACTGCTCTAGGAACCCTCACCAAGTTTGTCTGTGGATGAGATAATATCAGCTGGAACGGAGGAGTCCAGATCAGCATCCAAAATTCCCAGGGGATCCAGCTGTGCTACATGGTGCCCTCGAATCTATGAAATGGGCCAAGAATGGAAAGGAAAGGACACATACAAAAGGACAAGAGAAAAAAAAAGAGGGAAGGGGGTAAAAAAAGTAAAATTACATTAAAATTAGTTTGCAGAGTAATTCTCACCAACGTTTGAAGAAACAGTTACTGGTGCATCATCAAAATTTACACAACTAATGCCGAGGGGATCAAGTTTTGCAATGTGGTGACCCCTGACCTGGAAGCAACAACACAAGTCAGTCAATAAACCAAATTTTTAAAAAGGCATGCATTTCAGATAAACCTTTCTGGAGGAGGACTAAAGCCTTAACTGGGACCTATACCATCAGTAATTTCACACAATAAATATTACCTTTACCCAAGAGGCTCCCAGAATTTGTCAATCAGCAAAAAGAACTACCAAGCACATTTATGTATTTATGGAGATAAGGGGACATAAACTTCCCACTAATAATCAACTATTCCCAAATCAACACTGGGAATCAACATTCCCAAAGGTTCTATCCTTTAAGCCCCAAACTTGGCCTTCTTATCCTGTTGGCCAAGATCAACCAGAAAGCAAACATGTGACATAACTCAGCTGTTTAGCAACTTACCTTGGTTTGGAACAGGAACACTCTACTTTGGCTAGCTAGGCAGAATTAAGGGAGGCTCATAAAAAGCCAATCATTGATTCTTCTCATGGACTGAAGGCTTCCACAGAGGGCACCAATATTCCTTGATGGGACAAGGAAGTCCTTTGGTTTTAAGGCTATTGTGATAATGTGCCCTGAGTTCTTTTTCCATGGCTGTAAAGAGTAGCCTATAGTAAGTACAGCCAGGTGCACTCAGAACTAAGTAAAAATCAAAGCAGGTACAAAACAACTTCTGATCTAGAGTGTAGAATTTGAATGTCTTAAAAAAAATTCTTTCAAAATTTTAAAAGTTCCTTTAGGCCTAGGACATTTCATGTATAATTTCTTACTGGTGATTTGTGAAGGGGGATTGTTGATTCTTCCTGGAAAAGACCAAATTTAAACTCTCCCCAAGGGCACCTGATAATGTGGGCAATAGGCAAGATGTCAAGGCACACCTACCATCTCTTTAACATTTGCATAATGAGAAGAATTTCGGAACGTATATCTATCACTGGCTGAGCCATACAGGTTATATACAATGAGGGTATGGCAAAGACCTGTTCACAGGTTTTTTTCTTTTCTGAGAAGGATAATTGGAAGATCTCAATCCCCAGGGTGTCCTATATTCTACCAGTACCTAAAGAATCTTGGAGTTAGAAGGGACCTCACAATCATAGTTATTAGGCAAGAAGATACTCTAAAACATACTGGACAAATGGTCATCCTATACTGCTTAAAGAGCTGCTGGGAGACAGAACCCACTACTTTCTGAGGCAGCTCTTTACTTGCAATTTTGGACAGTTCTTACTGATGAGAAGTTTTTTCTTATACTAAGCCTAAATCAGACTCTTTTTAACTTCTAGCCATTGCTCCTAACTGTGCCCTGTGAGGTCAAGTAGAAAAAATGTCATTTTCCACATGGCAGTAAATTAAAGGTGTAGTTTCCTACACCTGCACCAACACCTACACCTGCTCAAACTCCCTTATTAATAAGTTACATCAGGAAGGGGTTCCTTAATATTTTTTGTGTCATGAAACCCTTAGGCAATTTAGTGAACTTTACGAACAGACCTGTTCTCAGAATAATTTTTCAAGGAATAAAATAAAAGGCATGATATTACAAAGGAAACCAATTACACTGAAATAGTTACCAAATATTTTATAAACCAAGTTCATGGACTTCAGGTTAAGAAGCTCTGATCTAGAAGAACACGGAGGAGAAAGGGTCAACAGTGTCATAGATTCAGAGCTGGGAGGGACCTTAGCAGTCATTGAGTCTGAGAGCAGTGATGTCATTCAGCTAAGGTCACACAGGTTGTAAGTAGCCCTGTGAGTCCAAATTCAATGCCCTTTCCATTTTTAACAGTCTTTGATTTAAAGGTGATGGCTTTAGACCTTAGCTGTAGAATTTTACTTCAATTAGGCCAAAAGAATATCCTAAGCAAAACCTGTTAGGTATGCTGTAGCCTGAAGAAAAGAAAGGCACACTCCCCACAAAAAATACACAGACTTGGACATATATACAGATGTAGTCAAGTATTTTCCCCTTGCATCTCTGCCACCCAACCTAGTCCTATACTCTCTTTGCTTCTCCTACATGTTTCTCCCCATTTGCCTAGTCTTTCCTGGCTTTCCTTAGGGAGCCTCCCTGTGCCCCATTTATGTTTTCTCTAACCCTTTTACTCCACCCTAGTTTAACATGGCAGCCACCTGGCTATGACTATAGGAGGCAAAGACTGGTCCATGCTCCCCAGGGTCTTAGCAACCTGGCCTTGGCAACAGAAGATGGCTGATAGGTGGCAACAGCCTTTGTGCCGTGTTACAACAGGTCATTCTATCCTTTCTCCTCTTTTCTTTAATGTAAAACCATGTCTTAAGGTAATATTGGGCTCATTCTTCTACATGATCTCATCATTGCCAAATTACGAAAGAAAAAAGGATGGAAAAGGGAGCTATCTGTACATCACATATCAGAGCCAACAAAGGAAGGTCTGCTTCTTGGGCCTGTAGCTATTCTCTAAGGTTCTGTGACAAGCAATTAAAAAAAATCAATGTTAAACTAGAGTACGGGATTATATTACATAAGAACTAGTGGATCCCCCCCGCCCACTACCACCACCAAAAAAGAAAGAAAAAAAAAGGAATATTGATAACCATATTCACTATTTTAAAAGCAGAGAAGGGTCAGTTTAACCACCCTCCTTTTCTGCCTACTATTTGTTGGAGAATCCTAAAGCCACTTACCTGATATGCCCTGATAAGAGACTGAACTGCAAGATGGTCTTCCACAAGCTTATCTACATTCGGCTGGGCATGAACCAAGGACTGGGCTTGGGTCAGGGCTGACAGGGCGCCACTCAGGGGAGGGGGGCTTTGGTAGGCAGTGCCAGGTGGGGCTCCAGCATTGGCATTTCGAAAGAATATGTCCCATGACTAAAAACAAGAAGACAAAGAAAGATTAGGTCAAAGTTTGCACCTGGTAGGGGAAGTTCACATTTATAATTACTTAGACAGAGATAGTCATCACAGGTGGAGCTTTTCTTCTGAGATGTGGGAATGTTTAAGCTGTTCTATTATAGGGTCACAAATTTAGAGCTGGAAGGTACCTTCAAGGCTACCTGGTTCAATCTCCCCCAACCTCTCTATTTTACAGATGAGAAAAACAAGACTCAGGGAGGCTAAGTGACTACTGCCCTGACTCAAAATTCAGCATTTTCTACAATGATAATGTGCCACTCTTCCTAGTTCTTCTCCGAGACCATTCTTAACTGTTTTGTTGCTCTTAATGCCTCTTTTTCTGATCCTTCTCTCCCCTCGGTCTATGTTTAGGTAAGCAGCAGTGTGGTCTAACAGAGCAGTAGACTTGGAATTAGTAAAACCTGGGTCTGAGTCCTTCCTCAAAGGAGATAACACACACACAGCACTTGGCAAACCTTAAATGGCTCTACGTAAACGACAGCTCCTATGATAATAATTACTATACTTAGTTGAGGCACCTAGATAGTACAGTAGAGGGAGTGCTGGGCCTGGAGTCAAGAAGACCCGAATATAACCACAGCCTTAAAACCTCAGACATTTACTCTTGACCAAGTGCCCTTGTCTCGACTTCCTCTTTGGTAAAATAAGGCTAGCAATAACACCTATCTTCAAAGGTCATTGTGAGGATTAAATAATTGTAAAGCACTTAGCACAGTGCCTTGCACCTGGTAAGCACTATATAAGTGTTAGCTATTATTATCTTTATCATTATCATAATATGGTGTGTGTGATTCAGGATTGTTCTTCAGCACTTCTTTGGGAGTTATATTTCATTACCTAGTGTTTTAATCCCAAAATGAATCGGCAGCTGGGTGGTGCAGTACATGGAAAACTAGGCCTGGAGTTAGGAGGCCTAAATTCAAATCTAGCCTAATACTTACTAGTTGTGAGACCCCAAGCAAGTCACATCCTCTCTCTCTGCCTCAGTTTCCTCATCTGTAAAATGGAGATAATAATACTACCTACATCCCAGAATTGTTGTGAGAATGGAGTTTTACACATATACAGACACATACATACATCTGTGTGTATAAGTAAATAAAACAGATAAAGCTTGGTACATAGAATACACTGAAATGCTTATTCCCTTCCCTCCCTCCTCCCAATAGCTGTGTGGCCCCGGGCACCTCTCTAGTTCTCAATTTCCTTATCTGTAAAATAAAAGGGGGTGGTCTCAAGGAGCTATAATTTATGATCCTATGGGTGACTGTCCCCAAAGTTCAATCCTTGGCTCTCTGCTTATAATATCTTGTCTTTTCCTTAAATGTCTAGTGCAATGCTGGGCAGAGTGAAGCTCAACAAATGTCCTTTGAACTCCATAGAGGCTTATGTACCTAAAAAAAGTTGAAGTGTTTTTTTTTCCCAATTAAAAATCCCAGAGTTGAAGGGGCCCCAGAATCTAGTCCAACCTTTACCTAAGGCCTAAAACCCTTCTATAACTAACTACCTTGATAAATATCATTAGAAGTACTAGAATCATTTCTCTAGGAATTTACAAAATTCAAACATGTCTAGAAAATTTTTGAAGACTACTGCATTCTAAGTTTTTCTTTCCTAGTAGTAATTAGCCAATTCCTAGGTATTCTCTATAGTCTGCTCACCCATGACTCACAAATGTGGACCCAAGTCTTTTTTTTGAGTAATTTAAGTAATTTATTTATTTTCAGTTTTCAACATTCACTTCCAAAAGATTTTGAGTTTCAAATTTTCTCCCCACCTCTCTCCTCCACCCACCCCAAGATGGCATGTATTCTTTTTTTTTTAATATAAATTTATTTTTAGCTTTCAATATTCACTTCCACAAGTTTTTGAGTTCCAAATTTCTCCCCCCTCCCCCCCACCCCAAGATGGCATGCATTCTGAATACCCCTTCCCCTGGTCTGCCTTCTCTTCTATCTCTCCCCCCTCCCTTCTCTTATCCCCTTCCCCTTCTATTTTCCTGTAGAGCAGGATAGATTTCTGTACCCCATTTCCTGTATTTCTAATTTGATGGCGTGTATTCTGAATACCCCTTGGACCTAAGTCTTTAGGAGAGTGGTGAAGCCAGCTACCAATAAACAATTCTTCATTACATCATGAGTTTACAGTTGAATGGTACGTTACAATAATTGAACAGTCAATCATAGAATTATGGAGTTATAACTTGAAGGTCATATGGTCCAACTCCTTCATTTAACAGGTGAGGAAACTGAAGCCCAGGGTGGCTAAATGATTACAGAGGGTTACACAGGGAGCTGGCAGGGCCGAGGTTTAAATTCAAGGTTTTCTGGCTCCATATGATGTATTAGAAAAAAAATGATTTTCTTGTGGAAGAGAGGAAATTACCAAGAATGAGATGAAAGAGAATAGAGAAGCCTGTAAGAGTTCAATTTGTATATGAACATGAAGAAGAGAACCAACATTTTAAAACTATATGAAACGGTGAGTCACTGATAGCAAACAGGTCAGACGTGGGCTCTGAAACTTTAAGCTAATCTTTAATTATATTAATCACAGTCCCAAAGGAGGAATTTGATATCTGAAACTAGGAGACATATCTACATAATTCAAAGGTGATGTTGTCCCCAAGGAAAGAACTTTTGAATATTCTTTATAAAAATTAATTAATCTTTTTTTTATTTCATTTTGATTTCCAAATATATCCCTCTATCTTCCCCTATCCAAGGAGCCATCCCTTGTAAAAGAAAATAAAAACAGGAAAAAAACAAGTTCAACAAAACTAACCAACACAATATTGACTTCAGTTATCTCTTGATGTTGGCTCAATAATTGAGTCTCTTTTGTTTTTTGGCCATCTACCTTGAATTAAAAATCAGAGAATTTTTCAGCTGGAAGAAGGCCTAGAAATGTAGCTGCACCTACCTGTCCAGGCCAGTGAGGACACAATTTGCCCAATGAGCTAGCCTCTATAGGACAATGGCTCTTAGCTTACAAATGATTTTCCCCATTGAGAAACCTTATGAAGGATAGCCTAGAAGTTTCTCACACTTTCCATTCTGTGACTCTTCTTTGCACAACTGTAAGATGCATTTGTCCACTGTAAACTGTACTTGTATGGGAAACAGCTAATGGGGCAAGGAAGCATATCTGCTTTGAGCTATATGGGCAGATTTTAATTTAATAATAGCTAACCTTTACATAGTGCTTTAAAGTCTGCAGAGCCCCTTTAGGTATATTATTTCATTTGATCATAATAATAACACCCTGAGAGGGAGGTGCTATTATTGTACCCATCTCACAGATAAATAATCTGAGGATGATGAAAATGCAGTGCTCAGAGCCTTAGATGTCAACAACTTTTGGAAAAGTTCATGTTTATTCTAGAGGCAGTGGCTCTACTAAATTTAAGCACTGCAGTCTTAATGGATAGTGCTGAACCTGGAAGTCAGGAAGACCCGAGTTCAAACACCACATCAAATATTTATTAGCTGCATGACAGGGCAAGTCATAACTTCTCTGAACCTCAGCTTTCTTATCTATAAATAAGATACCAGTAGCTGTAGCACCTATTTCACAGGGCCATTATAGAAGTTCAAAATGAGATCATATACATATAAAGTGCTTTTCCAATCTTAAAGCACTATACAAAATCCAAATAGTAATAAAAAATGGTTATCCATATGGTTGCCAAGAGATATAAACCCCACCCCTTGCAAAAAAAAATGAAAGGGTCTAGATTTTTAATTCTTCATGCCAAACAATATTTCATAAGGAAGTCATATTAGCACCTCCAACTTTAGCCCTGTAAAAACAGACTTCTAAAGGGTTAAGATGAGCGGCTGATCACAGGCCAGGAACACTATGAAACAGGCAAAGGCTTTATCAAACTTTCTGCTTATCCTTGGGTTTCCTCTAAGTCTTCCTATTAGTGCAACGAGACAAATGACCTAAATCCTTCAAGGATATATGGTCTCATTAGTATAGGGAGCCCCTTCCCCTGGTAAAGTTCCCAACATTTCTGTCTTTGTAAACAGTCTTCATGAGCACAGGGGCTGAAAACTTCCTAAAGCTACGTTCAGCCTCAAGTGGCTGAGCTGGTCTGCAGATGACAGTTTCTACGATCATGGTCACACTAGAAGCTTTGGGAGCTTGGTAGATTCTGCTCAAGCTTCTGCCTAGTTGGCACAGCTCCTGAGAACCCAGAACACCTAAGAGCCACAGGAGACATCTGGCTCATTATTGCAGTGAAGGAATGAGACCACTATTAGAGGGAAACAGTGACAGCATTCTTTTATGCTTATGGCATTACAAACACAAGTTATCTACTAGATTTTCTGTAAAAAGTTGTGACTGTGACTGCTGGAGTAATCTTGATTTTTAAGTACAATTAATAATCTTAATTTACTCTATCAGCCCAAAATGTTGGACCTGAATGAACATTTTATTTTCTTGGCTTTACAGACTTTTTAAGCAAAAGGGGCCTTACTTATCATAGCTCCTTTTTTCTGAAATTGCTTATAATTCAGTCTACAAAGTCAATGAAGCAAATGTCAGTGAAGCAAAACCAACTTTCCCATAACTCTGGCCCTGAGATTTTACTGGTGCCTGGAAAGGGAAACTTTCCCTGTCAATGGAGATGAGCCTCTTCTCAGTGACTGAACTGCCCTGGCCACAGAGAATTTAAATGGTTTGCTTAACACAAGCAGCAGGTAGGTCAGAGGTGGGACCTGAGTCTTCCTGACTCTTGAGGCCAGCTTTCTCTAGCCACACCATTATAAAATTAGATATTCTAATGCATTAATTACATGAGTACAAATATATTCTAAAATCAGAACCAATGCATTTACTTGCATAATTCTCTCCTCCACTCAATCTACTTTTATTATAAAATGATACAGCAGAAAAGCACTAAATTTAGAGCCAGAGGGTCTGGCTTTAAAAATCCTGCCTCTCAT